TTTTTAACTCTGCCCTCGATTACAGTCCTAGAGTTTCATTACGACACACATGGTTGGCGGCATCCGGTTTCGGATTCGCCTGTCACTGTGGTCAGCCACAGGACGCCTGCGCCTACAAAGGGACCATGGATGGCTTGCGCTGCACCACCCACAGCTCCATCCACACACCCCATATTTAGTGTAAACCCGAAGGAATAAGACCGGGAGGCATGTGGATGGGAGCCACGTCTCATCAACGGAGCCGGCCCACACTTCTTCACAGGTAAACACAAGCACGCTGTATTTGGGGAATCAATCGCACACAAGGCGGTGGCTGGACCGTAGTCCGCTCCACACTGAGTGCATGGAACCATCTTTCGAGCCTAGCACGACCACAAGGACCGTGCACCCCGTCCCCTCCAGCAACGACCAACTGTCTTCTGGAGCCAGTATGGATGAGGTAGTGGGTAATAGATAAGTAGGCACCTTGTCAACATGCAAATCAAGCGCAGCCACACCTGGGATGTCAAACAACAGCCAATCATTCGAAATGCCGATATCGACTAAAGTAAACGCATATGACGACATAAATACTCGCTAAATTAGCATAGAGAAGAAATTGGTTATAAGTGAATCCGTGATAAGTACAAAATGTCCGAAAGTTATTTAAAAAATACCACGCGATAAAATTACGCAAGTTTACCACAATTTGCGTGAGCGACGTGTGCAAGTAAGGAGATTATCAAGTACGCAGAACAAACCAAATAACATGTAATGAATTTTATCCACATTAAAAAGACCTAGTTTAAGTGTAAGTTGGTTTAGCCCAACTGCGGTGAAGAAGCATCATTAATGCGACATCAGCCTCAGCAATGGGCATACGACACACATAGTACTCACCCAGCACAACACATTTTCAGTCTAGTGCCTTAATGACGTCTTTTGGTCGTTGATTCAACACGTCTCTCGGTTAATTAAGGTGCAAATAGAGCTCGTATGGCGCTCATACTTTAGAAACAGTGATGTCAAAACAGCGATTCAAAATGCCTTCAACAATGCCGCACTCGGCTGTTGAGGAATGTGGAAACTTATACAGTCCGGTGTGTCTATGACTGTCTTCGAGAGTCGCAGTGGATATACAACACAGGTGGCTGCGTAACCCACCTTTTACACTAATGAACAAATAGCTGACAAGATGCATGTCGCGTCCGCATTCCCTTTGCATTTCAATCGCCTGGACGCATGGGCATGATGGAGTGTATACACAATGACAAGAGTAACTCGAGGTCCCGCACATCTGTCACGAGTTCACAGTGTGTGGGGGGGGGAGGCATTAATGCTGCAATGTGGACCTCAAGCGACCCTCCAAGCGGACAAAATCACCCCGGTCACTGCAGTGGATGAATCTGGAATCAGAAAATGTTAAGGGGAAACGATGGGCGCTCAAATCACTGCCTGTACGTGGATTAGGATGAAGAAAAACGTTAAACGAGTAGTTATCTAGACTACACACCCTGTGGCATCGCCTCCAGTTCTAAAGAGAAGGTGGTGGGAGTGTGGGGCGATGGACCATTACAAGCGCCAGTCGCATGAGGAAGGCAGATAAATTAAAGACTAATAGAAAAGGAGCAACCAACCTGAAAGCGTCCAAGTGAGAAGGTCGAATGCCAGGCAGTTGCAAAAGACTGCTACCTGTGTCGTGTACCCAAACACCTTGGACAATCATTTGCATGAGGAGAATTGTGTTCAATGCACTAGTGAGCCAGCCACACAGTGTGCACGCGTCCAACATCGCCTGTAGACGAGAAGGGTAATGGATGATCAGTTTGTGGGTTCTCAGAGTAAGACAGAGAGTGTGCAAACTCCTTCACTAGGGTCCGAAAGCCCCAAGACTGCAGTGCAGATAAAATACACTTAACGAATCATTCAGGCGGAAACCAACCCCCGTGTGAAAGTTGGATCGTTTGAAATTTTGTTTCATAAAATTCAGTGCATATTCGAAATGAAAGACGTGACTATTCGCGTTAAGATGGAAAGTGTCCGTTGCCAAGAGGTCAATGTGAGACAATCAGATGAGGCTATCACCAACGGCACACAAGGGTAAATCAAACTATACCATAAAATCAACAGAATGGATACGGTGCACGTATCAAGCCGGAAACCATTACGATTGAGACGAATATTATAAAGTATATTCGAAGGCAAAAACATAGTGGGTAGTAGTCAAAGAGGTCAGCTTTCCTAAAATTGGTGAAATTTCTGTATCGTAACAAGAACGTTGCATTTCATGAAGTGCCACGTTTCTTCTCCATCGTTTCGGTTTGCTTCGCAAAAATCGCTGCTTCGGTTATTCGCCTACAAATTGATTTGTTGTGTCCCGCCGATACTATTGTACCTTGAACCCTTCAAGGTTGCTGCACACTGGTTAGTTTATCCATTGTTATGGGCTCTGGTTCCTGTGTCAGTATTGTTCCACTCTGGGCCTTAGAGTGGAGTCGCTCAAGAGGCACCCTGTGAACTGAGACGGTCGTCGCTAATCGATCGACTCACAAAAAAATAAATCAGCGATACTGAGGCGATATCGGATTCGCATCAGGAAGTAGTTGAAAAATACAAGCATCTGACGTCTTATAAGTTTATCTCCAAACGTTTTGAGCAATTCAGTTCGGCTGTTCCTGCACATAGATGCGGCGGATCCAGTTGCTTGGAATTGTCATCAAAAGAAGATTGTTAGCGTTTATACTAATAACGACAGAGTAATGGGAAATGCTAATTTGTAGATCGCGGATGCAATCGAAGAGCATGCACATTTGAAGTTGTGCACAACCACAACTGGAAGGAAAACTGCTATGTGGACACGAACGAGAGCATGGTCAGTGTCAAGACAAATGCTTCAGATCGAATAACAACCGTACATTGTCGCAACATCTGTAGTTGATGACGAAATAGTCAATTTGGGTACAGGCTACCCTGTCGTTTGGTGGCCATGATGGGACTCGATATGCACTCTTTTGATGTAAAGCTGTACTGCTAATGTAGAGGGCCAGCCCGTGGCCTAGAGGTAACGAGCTTGTCTCGTAATCTTGCGGCCCGGTTCGAGCCTGCATAGGGGACTCTCGCAGTATCCTTAGCCCATGTGCGACCAGTGATGGTTGCGCGGCAGCGAAGTGTCGGTACCGGGGTTACTGCTGATGTTTTTGCTTTAATGTAGAGGTCGTGATCAACGTACGATTCAATGGAGCAGTTAAAATTGCCACTACAGCAACCGGGTTAGGGGATGTTCCGACCCAGAAACAACTGAATCGAGCACTCATGCCACCGACAGCTGTGCCTTTGGCCATATGAATAATGGAGGAGAGATGCTCATGGAATTCATTGGTGGCTTCCAGTCCGCAATAGGTGGAAGCGTAGTTTGAAACAACATAACAGCATACTGGATTCAACTGCTGTCTAGCAACCCCGGTGGAGCTTCGAAGTCGAATAGCATGCCTGCAATCATTCACTGAGAACTATCCTGGAAAACTAGTCACCACATAACTGCTAAGAGGTACTCAGATATCGCAAATACTGCGAGAAAAAAAATGACATCAGCAATACCGACACTTCGCTGCCGCGCAATCAACACCGGTCGCACAACGGCTAAGGATACTGCGAGAGTCACCCTGCCCCTACACAGGCTGGAACCCGCGCCGTCAGATTACAAGACAAGCTTGTTACCTTTAGGCTATGGGCCGGCAGAAATGCTGCGAGCCGTGGATTCAGCATCATCAGAGACGCAATGTAAGTCCAGTCATTGGAACCCGAAACTGGTACATGCAGATAAATTAAGACACTGCTGTTCTGTGCTTAAATCTAACCCGATGTGTGTCTCATGTTAGCCGAGCCAACTTAGTGTGAGGACACCGGAGGATCTGATGTGGAATGGCACTTTAAGTTTGAAAGACAATACGACGCTTTTGCTAACGTGATTCGCGAATTTAGCAGTGAACGCTTGCTGGTCGTGAAGGGAAAAGGATTGCTGGTGAGAGATTCATGAGGACAGACCATAATACGCAGTTGCTTATTCTGAAGGAGCACTCTGTTTGAATTGCCTTATCTGTGACTTAAACCTCAGCACTCGGGCCCATGTAGGTATGTTTGAGAAACTTCTCCAGGAGCCTTTGGTTCAATAACATGACCCACACGACTGTGGTAAGCATTTTCAGCTTAAGGGTGTGACTAGAGTCCCAAAAGCATCGATCTGAGGATAGCATCGGGTAGGCATGAAAGGGGGAGAGCCATTCATAGTGGTTTTCAACTGCAGTAGAGCACACACCTGTGATCACGGTTAACAACGAGTGGGAGTTGGTAAGTTTGCACTTTCTGGGTCAGGGACTTGGGGCGAGTGGTAGCGGACCATTGAGCGCTGGGTAATGTACTTCCGCCGACAAACAGAACTCATGGTTCCCGTGCCCCAAACCAAACCAGTTGAGTTTATGCACGACTACCTCTTACGCTTAAGCTTCGAAAGAAGGACGGGACAGGACAGCATCCAGGGACGAAACAAGCTTCCGCTTAATGAGCGTCCCGTTTTGTGTGCTAGTAAGCGAAAAATAGCCCCCAGCACCGCGACTTGATAGAATATTCTTGATTCAAAGAAACAGCTTGGAATCCATACGGTAAATCACTGATCAAAAGTGATGTAGAACAAGCAGTGTTCCAGGAGAAGAGCAGCAACGCCACGTGTGAAAGTTCTCCTGGAGAAACAATAAAAGAGCAGAATCCGAAAGGGACTAGGATTCGTATGACCAGGATTCAAGATTATCAATAATTTGCGAACTCTTTCAGATCAGTTAACGACCAAATCAATGGACGAAAGTTCTGGAGCGAAAAAGCGGGCGAGTTCTGAAGTGAAGAATCCGTATATCACTGATTCCGGGATGGTTCGGTACTGAAAAACCGCTTTCGAGAAAAGAAGCTTACACGCCGTAGAACGACAATCAGCGAGAAACCGGCAGATGGTGGGCAGAACAGGAAGACCATCAATTCCCTATCCAATTTCAAAAGAAGATGCTGAGACTGAGTTTGTCTGATGCCTAACAATACTCCCTCTAATACGATTGGTTCTGAAAGGTGCAACTCAGCGTAGTTCTGCGGATCGAGATGGCACACAAACCATCGCACCAGGCCAAAGTCCAGTCTCGCTCGTCTAAATAGGATGCAGCGCGAAGCAGTACAGTCACAAAAATACACAGCAGATCGCCGGTGTCATATGGTGAAGTAAACCGTTCAATATCCGACTAGACATTGCGATACTTCAGAAAGCCATTGCCAGTGTTATCATCAAGAGAAGACAAAAATGTAAATAAATAAATGTTATATTCCTCGGTGTTTCGAGGTGCAGTCCATCTATGTGGTCTGATCAATGTGTACAACAGGATCGCAAAAAAAATCAATTTGTTCACGCTTTTTACAATGGATCCAAAACAGGTATTAAACTAACTGGCAGGATTAAGGCATTAAAGAAATTAAAAAGCAGGAACAATAACGTAAGCAGATTTAAACAGATGTCCAGTTAAAGTAATACGGCCACTCGTGGAACCATCCCCAGGGGACCTGCTTCCATGCAAGGTATTCCCTCGAAAGGTTTCGCTCGCACTTCCATGCAATAACTGGCCGTGTGCCGGTGTGGCATAGTAGCATATGGGCCATCACCTGTATATCATATGTTTTGTTCATTTTAGAGCTGCTTTTGAACATGTATTATGGGCCATGAAGGCTCAGCCCAGTCCGTCATGCGGATCATTCTATTATGGCACTTTTTTTATACGCCACGTTCCGCTTTGACCAGCTGCATAGATAGGAGATGGCAAACGGGGAGTGTTATATCAAATGAATCGACGTCCTCACTCATGAATGAAGATTTCTTTCGTATCCCAAAGGACGCTGTATCATCCAGTAAACAAGCGGCACGGGAATGGATCCTCTATAGCGTTGGAATCTGTATGGCACTGCATGTTATGGAAAGACTGTGTCAACCAATCCGCAATGGCACAGTGATAAAACGACCAATGATCCAGAGTAGGCTGTGCATACATGCGTTACACGCGCAGTAGGAATGTACAAGCAACCGCAACGGTCAATCGTGCGTAGATGGCTATCCATACTTCATTCAGAGTAGGTACTGTGCTTGTCGTTGAAACCACGGATGCCGAACAAGATGACAACAGGAAGTTTCAATACACAACTTCCACAGCACCTGTCAAGTTACCAGAACAACGCAGCTAAAATCGCGTGTAATTTTTCCTGTGAGCGATTCGGAATTCGAACGGAACACGAATTCCTATGCAACTAACCTGAATACAATTTCACGCCCTTCTGCGTATGTGCCACACAGAACTATGGGTTAACCAGATAGAATACCCCATCCGCAGGATTGCTCTCATGAACTCCACGGAGACTCACTTGCAAAATACGTGTGGCCTGATCCAAAACAGATCGTGTATCGGTCACGTAGTCGGCCACGGGAAGCTCGGCCAACCGAGAGAAGTGCGCCTGTAGAAGCAAGTGAGTTTTAGTGTGCGAACACTCGTACGCTCCGATCGTCGGTAGTGGAAGTAGGCCAGCCAATTGTTCATTCATTTGGTCCTCATTGTGTCTAACCGGAAGTTGAGAGTATTCGTGAGCATTCTGTGTATGGAGTGTAAAGGGAACATACGATATGATTGTAAAAAAAATTGCAATAGGTTCGGAGGAAGTGAGGGGCTCAAAGCGAGTATGGGCCAAATTAAAACCGGCAATGGTATCTGAACCGCATTCGAGTTTCAAAGATCGGATGCAATAGAGAGACTGAGTAGCAGCAGAAGAATATTGGGTGTTACCCGCCCGAAAACACTGCACTCCATGACGCGTTTCGACCTTATTTGATTTAATCAGGTATATCACTTTACGCTCGCTACTAAAGTTTTTCTACTACAATACCGCTGTTCTGATAGCGCTTGAATGTAACAAATTGATGACGGAGGTTATTCGGATTACTCGTGGTAAATTCAATCACGGCAACTCTGCCTTTTTGGAATTCTGCCATTGAAAGACCTACTGCCCAGCAATGGACACAGGGTGAATTGACCTACATTAATTGCGTTGGTCTTTGACGTTGACAGCAGCAAAACGGTTGATGATGTAGTGAAAATCAAATTACTACGCCACTATCTCGGTGGTGAGGGCCAACGACATTTCGACAGTGCAATTAGATACAAAAAGCGACCTACGGCCTGTGTTTTCTTAATTGGACCAACTTTGGGAGAAAACCCACATGTGTTCACAGCACACCACAAATTAAACACCATGCGACAGCAATCTCATGAGAGTGTAAATGAGTTTATCTATCGACTTCTTACTTCCCTCCCCGATTGTGCCCGTGATCAGATTCTACTGACTCAGTTCGAAGGGACATAATTGTGTCCTCGATGAGAAGGCACGAGAGCGGCTGCTATCCGAACACGAAACACTCCTAAGTTGGGAAACGACCTGCGATATAGTCCGACAGCGTGCAAACCTCGTTCAGGAACTAACCGCGGTTTCTTCCTCCAATCAGTTGATCTCCCAGGACGTAAACAAAGTCTCCCGAATTTTCCGGGACCAAACCGTAACTAAAACTGTTGTTTTCGCTGCGGTGGACGCTACTCGTCTCCAACTGACCGTCAGCACGTTCATTCAGTGCGCAGATTTTGTGGTAAAAAAGGTCTTTCGAAGTGGAAATCACTCGTACCTGAACAACATAAGGCTACAAGTTGTATCACCGATAACTTATACCAAAACTGGATCAATACCACAAGTGCTTTTAATCGCAATATAACGTCAGAAAAATCATTTGTCATGTCTATCAATGTAAACGGACAATCTGTGGATTTTAAAATTGATACCGTATGCCTTATCACAACTGTCAAATTTAGATCCACCAAATATACAATTGCGATCTTACACGGGAGAGATGGTGAAGGTGCTGAGCACATTTATTACACGCATCTCTTACCGTAATTCAACGAATCTTATGTGTGTGTACGTTTCTGGAGGGCCGAGCCCAAACATACTTGGTCGCGACGGAATTAAATATTTTCCCAGCATCATGTTAAACGCCAACTTGGTGAAAACCTATCCATAATTATCTGATATCCAGCAAAAACATGCGATTTGGTCCGATGAGTCTAGACAAAGCCCTTTGAAAAATCAAATCGCTCATCTAGTAATGAAACCAAAGGCAATATCGAGGTTTTGGGAAGCTCGAATGGTTCCTTATGCTCTTTGTGATAAAGTCGAGAGTGAGTTGCGTCGACTCTAGCTGGAGAGCATAAGTGAACCCGTCCAATATTCGGACTGGGCAGGCCTCGAATCTAGTCACTGAAGAGATCAGCAGTACGCCGGCACACAATACCGACGCTTCGCTGCCGCGCACTTACTAGTCCCACGTGTGCTAAGGATACTGCGAGGGTCACCCGGTCCCTATGCAGGCTTGTGCCCGCGCCCTCAAATTACAAGGCACGCTTATGATCCTTAAGGCTAAGAGCCGGCTAGAGCTATTGGGATGTTGGTTGAAACTGCTACCTCTTTAGTCACCGGAGCACGACAAACAACGCTTGGCACAACGGTCAATGACTGATTGGAGGGTTACTTTGAAGTGCTCATCATGTGAATGGATTGCGATGCGTCATCTCAAAGTGGACCGCGATTCGCATTGAAGTGGAACTAGGTCAATTCGATCATTGAATACCTCTGCTCTTATCTCCCATTAGCACCACTCCCTAGAAACGGACGGTGTTCCTGACTGGAATTTTAAGTGCCTATAACTGAGCACGTTACTGTTGTGTGGAAAGTTCTCGGTATACCGAAAATTTGATGTTCCTGACGGATGGCAATAGCGAATCCAAAGCTCTTGAACATTATGTTATGCCAGGCGATCCATTCCCTCACCCCTAACCGTGATCTTTGCTCTCACCCACTGCTCTACTGGGGTTCATATGCCCGAGGTCCCGACAATGCGAGGCGGCCTATCTGACACCCCTCACCTTACCATATATTGTCGGTTCCATGATGAAAGCGGACACGAAAATTGCGTAGAGCAAAAAACGTACACGGAAAAATGCGTACAAGAAAAATTTCTTCCTCGGAGTATGGTGCACACGGTATACGGCGAATACGGAAATACTCCAGTTCGACCGCTTTGTACATAAACGACTGCCCAACATTCCAAATCTCCCATGACTCATTAGAATACTCAACAGACAGAACACTGCTCGCTTGTTGCAGTTGGCCAAAGCCTCAACGATTCGGTGGCTCTAATGCACTTGATGTGGCCAGACCGAGTTGGTGAACATTTTATGGTGACGGGCTCAAATATCAGTCTAGAGGAATGGAGTCATGAAGCGACACTCCTTTATTGTGCGCATACATGTGTCCCGTATATAGTGACACCGGTGAACCTTGCTAGTTGGGGAAGCGGGAATGGCACCTCGTGTCGCAGATGTGCGAAGGATCGGACCGTGGGCGTACTTTTCGGTTTACTAAAACGTCTTGAACTGACAGTCCACATTTCTCTTCGGTCGTCTAAGTGTGCGACGGAAGAAGTAAATTCGATTACAATTTTACACACTGTACTGAAACAACCGGGTACATTTGCAGATTGCTAAAAGCTTTCCATCCAAACGATTTCTTGAGTGGGAAATTTACTACGTGGACATCGTTCCATGTGCAGTACCACTGTGAAAATGGCCATCGGTCATCAGACGCAGTCACCTACCTCATCAAGCCAAGGCTAGGTTAGCCACGAACTCTGTCTGGTCACATCAAGTGCATTAGAGCCACCGAATCGTTGAGGCTTTGGCCAACTGCAACAAGCGAGCAGTGTTGTCTGTTGAGTATTCTGAATGAGTAATGGGAGATTTGGAACGTTGGGCAGTCGTTTATGTACAAAGCGATCGGACTGGAGTACTTCCGTATTCGCCGTATACCGTGTGCACCATACTCCGAGGAAGAAATTTTTCTTGTACGCATTTTTCCGTGTATGTATTTTGCTTTACGCAATTTTCGTGTACGCCTTTTTGTGTACGGTTTTTTCCGGTTACCATATTGTCGGCTGTTTTATGTGATTAGTCGTCTGGTCAATACACTATCCGATGCGGTGAAAGTCTGTTCTAACGGCCTACGCGCCATTGACCGTCACAACTGACCACCAGTAGAGCAGGTTTCACTTAAACATATTCAAAGGAGAGAAGGTAGTAATAACATCACAATGGTGGAGAAAATTTCCTTTCTCTTTTGCTGATTTTTTGGGGTCGATTAATACATGGACTTACGACTTTGGACAAACTTGTTGTTACAAAATCATACTGTTGGCTTATCTATGGACAGGCTTATATTCGGTAATATACGTACCGCAAACAAGTAAGGCAGTCTATTGCAGGGTGCTCATCATAGCTAGCAGAGTAGTTCTTAGAGAAACACCGTTACGATGACTCTATATTTGAGAGAAAACTAGGAATTTTTGAAGACAAAACAATATCCTAAGGCTATGGTGTGGATCATTGACTCCCATATTACTGATCAAACTCGGATTTCGTCAAGCAAAGCTGTCTGAGCAAGCTATTGAAAAAATGTAGATGGTAAACAGATAACGGCAATGTATGATTCAAAGCATAGAACTGATATGGAGGTTTATCAGGTCGACAGGCATAAAGAGGCTCGTCACATTCGATCATCGCTGCCTTCGCAGCTTAACTCATATCTGGTGGGAGGACCGCGTAAGCAGTGAGTGTTCGGTGTCGCGTATTTGATGCAAAAAGAGCGAGTGAACCGTTCAGCCACATTATATCACGCACAGAACTCCGATGGGTAGACCAACTGTTGCGCATGCCAGCCCACCGACTTCCGCGACGTGTATTGTTTGTGCGCTGGGGTTGCGGATAGAAGAGGAGGAGGGGAGGCCAAGCGATGATTTGGTCGAAAGGAATAAAAACCCTCACTTCGAAACTGGCGTCGGTTGGTGCATCCCGACTGTCTGGCTGGGGTCCTAAGGACGATGGACACGTTCGGTTGGACACACTTGCTGATATGGCGAAGAGCCGGCCCCAGTAACGTTTGTGTTGTGTTTCTTTGTCCATCCCGCCTTTTGGATTCCCCCTTTAATCCCGATCTCAAGAAAAATGCATCATATAATATTTAACATGACACTATCTTTTTGTATTGCGGCACATCAGCTGAGGTGTATTTCTCACCCTCAGCTAACGTGTACTAATGATGATGAAAAGATGTAACGCTGTATCTTAACATCTGGTCGAACTGACAGATTCCCCCAGAGATATTTTGCGCCGATTCAAGAGAAGAAATCAAGGAACTTTAACAGATCGGGATGATAGCATGGCGGAAACACCGGAATATGCGAAACTGATTCTGACAACGTACCGCTAGTATCTTCAATAAATCGGGGACGGATAGAATGGGGCCTAGTTCAGCAACAAACAACTGAATTGTCTTGTGTGATAAATAATAATATGACGCAAGACGGCCCAGTTTGGTGCTGAACAAGGCATCCGGAGGGTCTGAGGTAACTTCCACGCAAGATGATTGAATAAGTTGGTTGCAGGCGTCCAGAATCACTCCTGACAGGAAGGCACTCACTGAAGCGGGTTCACAATCTTCCAAACCGTAGTAACTGTGGATTAGAGCATATAATGGCACTAGAATGAGTGGTGACGAGGAGGAGAACTTCACCTAGCACAGTTTGGTCAGATCTTGATATGCATTAAATCGAAATCTCTAGAAACTGGTGGCTCGGGTCGACCGTTCAGATATTCATGTGCCTTTCTGAATGGTAATTGGGTTGCAAATGTTTCATCGCTAGGCGATAGATCTTATCGCTACGCTGTGATGGCGTCATTTCTCCTGGTGTGCAAGTATTTCCAACTCGATTGCTACGTTCGACGAGCACATGAAAACCTGATACGTCAGACCGTTCAATTCAGGCTGTCCATGAAATAGCGAGCACCCCGCGATCATGCTTTGCGGCTAACACATCAAGTTTTGCCTGCGAGAATATGACGATGCCGAAAGCATTAGATGTAGAGACATACTGGACTTCTATGGTGAATAGTGAAATAATGGTTCAAAGATGATAGGTTGATATGTCAGATAAGAAGGGAGAATACGACGGGAAAATACAACGGAGATGAGTGGAATCCATCTGCTGGAGGTTGACAAATAGGTAAGAACTGGGAAGAGGTAGTGCTCATGTAAAAGACACGTAACGGAATCAAGAGTGGAACGAACCCCCAAAATAGCGACTAATTGTTGCATGTGAAAACAATCAGATTGGAGAATCATGGGTGAAAGACGTTGTAGAGCGATTACCATAATCCGGACAAGGGTCACCTGGGCGACCACTGAACCATAATGGGCACTAGCTAGCATATGCTGCAAATAGTCACTATCTGACTTTCATCGATTAAGTATACTAGACACATCGACAAAGTGCGCTCACCTTGGATTAGCAAGTAAACGACGGAAGAAGAAGGTCCAAGTCAGGTAATCCAGTGCTCCTTGTGTGGTGGAAATAGTTCCGGCGACAATCTCCGCGTTCAAGTGATCGGGTAACACTTGGAGTAGACAACTTTCCACGGGGAAGGGTTCGTAAAGAAAACGCTTGTAAAACGCCTTTTTGCAATCTTGTACCATGATAACGGCTGTACCCTGGTTATCGAACTGCGGCCTGCCGGCTCGACCCATCATTTGTAACACGTCTAAGAGAGAAAGAGAACAGCGTCACTCAGGATCGTGATATCATGACTCGGTGTGAATACAAAAAGAAATATCAGTGTGGTTCGAGGAGAATGCCACTGAGTACACCGATGACAAGAGAACAATGAACAGCATGGTGAAAAATATCTCGGATCGTCCAGATGTCAAGTGAGGCACAGAATCAAAGAAAGTAGGACGCGATTTTCGATCAGATTAAGTCGAGGAAAGGTCGAGGTGAGGCGATGAAACAGCACAAAGCAGCTGCCAACTGACAGTTGTAAGGTGCGCTAGTCTTCAGCACCAGAATCCGCAAGACCAAGAACTGCGCGAGGAGACCGCAGCGAATGAGGTCTCATTACACGTCATTCAGGAGTTGGCAGCTGGACAGATTGTCGCTGGAAAGATACTTGCATGGAATAGCAATCAATCATAAACGTAGCTTATGATAGTGGCTGAAAAATTGAACATTTAAATTGCAGATCACTGTACGCATACAAAACGGAGGGAGGTTCAACGGGTTTTGCACCGCTGCGATAAGTATAGTTGAGGCCCCTTCAATGAATCGCCAGAGATAGGATCAAGAATGATAGAATGCTCACTAGAACAGCAACCGTCAAAGAAAAAGCACGGAAAGCTGCAATCACAGCGCGACGATAACAGAGATCGGCCGGTAAGCTAACAGTTCAAGTATTACTTATGAGTGGAAAGATTTTGGTGAGTATTTGTGTTCGTCGCAATCAGCCGACAATTCATATAAGTCAACTAGCTATCCGGAAAAGCACCAGAAGGCCGTTTCGCCCTATTGGGGCTCATCAGTGGTGCGCATCCTTCGGTGCTCTGCATAAGCTGCAGGCTAGTTGGCAAGAGCCACTAGCAGTCATGGGTTCGATCCTCCGCAGAGGACCGAAGGATGCGCACCACTGATGAGCCCCAATAGGGTGAAACGGCCGTCTGGTGCTTTTCCGGATAGCTAGTTGACTTATCTGAATTGTCGGCTGATTGCGACGAACAAAAATACTCACCAAAATCCTTCCACTCATAAGTAATACAAATTCGCCCTTACGGATTCCATAAAATGTTATGTCGATTCATAGCTGCCGTACCCGGGAAGTCCTGACGCCAGAAGACCAACCGCTGTCATCTGCATGGCAGGTGTCTGCGTGGCAGTGGAGGATATGTCGGGCTATATCGCATTTAGCTAACAATTCGTGATAGTCAGATATCGTCCTCCATGGCGCAGTTGCATAAGCTGCGGGCTAGTTGGCAAGAGCCACTAGCAGTCATGGGTTCGATCCTCTGCAGAGGACCGAAGGATGCGCACCACTGATGAGCTCCAATAGGGCGAAACGGCCGTCTGGTGCTTTTCCGGATAGCTAGTTGACTTATCTGAATTGCCGGCTGATTGCGACGAACAAAAATAATAATTCAAGTGTCTAACTGGTAGGTTCGATCCCGAGTAGGCGCGAAAGACAGCAATTTCTACTGACCCCACGCGGCTGCTGGTGGTCGTGTGGCAACGAAACGTCCGGACGATATGCCACTGCACTGCTGATACCTTCTTACAGCGACAGGATACATGGATAAAGATTGCTTACTATCACTTAAGAGACAACGCGTCCATCCAAACAGAATCACTGACGATGAACCAAACTCTCGGCGTCTCTTATGACTTCGGTGAACGAGTAGAGGCTACCCAGACATTCAATAGGGGATTGCGGAGTCAAAACTGACCCGCTTACCCTTCCGTAAAGGTCAATCTCGCGTTTAAGAGGCTACAGCATGTACTTCGGTTAGGCGCGAATGTAGAAAGTTGAGGGGATCAAGTTTACTGACTGATGTCGTTGCTGATTTGGGTCGTGGCTGATAAACAGAAAGTCCAGGCATTGTGTTTTGATAGCGGTTTGGTGCCCACACCTATACATGTAAGGTTCAAATCACCGAACAAGACTAATATCAGTAATGTTCATCCGAATATTCGGGAACACAAGTGGTGCGGCCGTTTTGGGTAACATGGAGGCCAAAACCTGCTGACCATAAGGAGGTTGCGAGTGAGGGGTGTGTTTCGCCCGAAACGCTGAGTTGACTTTACAGGCGCGTAGACTAAAATTTTTACCGAAACGATCATAATCTGCAGCATAAATGTTCGGTCGAGTTGCTTGGCGATAATCGATCAAAACGAAACCAGTGACCACATTGATTAAATTATCTTTGACTGCCAGTGGCATGCAGCGGCTCAGGATTACCGGTCGATATAGAGTGTAACTTGCTGGATTATCAACAGGTCGCACGCCCAAGTCTCAGTAACGGACTGAACTTCGAAGCCATCGGTTTGTAGACTAACAGTGGAAGTGGTGAAGTTCAGGTTTTGAGAGCCATAGAACAATCCAGCACATCGTTAGAATGGTGACCGACACGGTTCTTAATGCGAAATTGGGAAGGCCTTATAGCCATTTAATTGATTAGTGGGAAATTTTAAAAAGAGAATGGGTTGTAGCGGCAGTGTGAGTACTCGTGATATTAGTCGAGATCATCAAGTCACTGATCGCAATGTCACTGCCTCCAAGCTAGAATTTGACATCATAACCCCAAGACGCGCCGAAACTCAGAAACGCTGGACGCAAGTTCCCCTACTCATATCAACAAGGTAGAATGCCATGTGTAAAAGTCTAAATATGCGATTAAGGCTCGGAAACAAATTAGTATATAGTCTGTGTCACGAGGGAGCAAATGAGAGAAGTCATTCGCCTTCGACACCATCGTATGGCGCTATACGCTTCCCACAATCTGTACTGCGCCGCCCACATAGCAATGAAACAAGGCACAGAGAAACTTATTTTTCGGTTGGTCACTGCGGCGCGATTGTGCGATCAGAAGGACGATACGGTTTATATGACGAGACAAGCGGCTAACGTGTCGCAAACGAACGTAGCAGTTGATTGGACAGCTATGCATATTTTGTCTACGAGCTAATTGGCTCGCTGGAGCGGGTTTGTTTAACTGATTCAAAGGAGGAATCTCATGAGTGCAGCAGCGTCGTTAGTTATGGAGATGGCTCAGTTATTGTAACGGATTTGCGCAGACCTGATCGCGTTAGCTTAGACGACCTGAGCACAGAACCTACTCACGCGCGTATTCGGGTGACATGCTGTCCTCGTAAACGGACAACGATACGCACACGACCGGAGGGCTAGACGCGCGAGACTTACGTACACACGCAGCAGCCGGCTAAACGGCGCACACCATCACGTGACCATGCGGATCCCAACCACCCACGAGACTAGAGAAGACGAAGCGGACATCTGGGAGCTCTTTTGCGACCCATAAAGGCCGAATTACAGTTGGAACAATGCTTCATTTTGTGGGCGAGATGAATTACCACGTAGCGCTGGTGGTTTACGAAAGAACACCGTCCACTTAGCCCAGTTGTGCTCCGACTTCGAGTGGTTGGATCCTACTAAGTTGTGGGCAGAAATTGAACCCCGTGTCTCACAGCTGACGCACTGGACTTTGTGGTGCATTTTTGCGGGGTTATTTGACGGGCCCGCAACACTTCCCTTTGAAGATAATGTGTACTACTTCTGACGAGGATTGACTTGGAGGGATTTCGGTAATCTCCGGATTCTTCCTGTTCGTTGGCAAGGCGGGTTCTCCTGACGTATCGGCGACTGGGTGACTTCGACTGCGGTCTCCCGTTGTGTAGCCATTCCAAAGGTTTACAACGAGATTGCAGCGGCAGGTGCCCAGGAAGACTGGCTGGCGTGGAGGGTTGTTCGTGGCGCGGTCGAAGTTGATTGCGATGGCGGACCCACGTGTCATCACCCACGGAGACATCATGCAGCATATCACCTCGACGGGCCGTCACTGTTGCTTTGATCCAGCGTGGATGACATGCTCGATAGTCGTTAACGTATACCGGGGCTCCGACGACGAATTCATTGTGCTTGGTGCAAGTAATAGATTGACTTGGTGGCTTTTCGGTCGGGTTGAGCGGTTTGTTAGTGGTGAGTAGCTTGAGGCCCACTAATGCTTCAGCCGGAGACTGGCATCCTGGAGCAGCTGGATTTGGTGTGGACCGATAAGAAAGCAAGAACGCTTGAAGGAATTTATCCACGGCCCCCTTCCCACGAGATTTCAAGAGTGCCCTCTTGTAGGTGTCGCCAAACTTCTCTGCCTGACCATTGAACTGAGGATGGTAGGACGGTGAGCGTAGGTGTTAGATGCAATGCCGGCGACAAAAGTCTTCGAAGATGGAAGACGTAAATTGGGTACCGTTGTCGGACACCAAAACGTCGGGAAAGCCATGTTGACTGAAGATTCGTTGTAGACAACCCAGCGTGGCGGATGCGTTCGGTGGGTTGACGACGACCACTGCAGGCTATTTGGAATAGGCGTGGACCACAACCAGGTAGGAAATGTCATCGATCAGGCCAGGCGATGTATACTCGAGACCACGGTTTTTCTGTCGCTTGCCAAGGAACTGGTGATTGGTGTGATGGCATCTTGGATGCTTGTCGACCAACCTGGGACACGGAGGCGGACTGTCTGATGGTGTCGTCGGTTTGATTGCTGGGTACTGTCGGAGAATGTAGCGTGTTGCAGATAGCCCGAAGAGGCAGATCGGCCAGGCCAAGGGTTTCGAACCAGTCGAGACCAAGTAGGTTGAGCTTCGCCTTCGTGATGTAGCAGATCTCGTTGAATGTGACGCCTCGGAAGGAAACGGAGCAGTACAGCTGCCCAGTTAGCTGCACGCGACCACCACACGCGCTGGTGGCTGATTGGAAGATCGGTTCGAATGGAGGCTTGCCAAATTATTGCCAGAGACCCTTGGAGATGATCGTGATGTCCGACGCAGTGTCCAACTGCAATCGGAAGGACTGCCCGTTGACCAAGACGTTGACGAATTCGTTACGATCCGCAGAGTTCAATTTGTACGTGGCCAGCAGGCTCAGGGAGCTACCAACCGGACCAGGGCTGGGTTTGTGTCGGGGTCGGGCCCACTTCTTAGGATCGCAGGTGGGGCCAGACCAGTTTTGGCCCCCTTGGGAGTTGTAGGATGGCAGTAACCATCCCGGTGCCCCACCTTGCCACAATGTTGACATCGGTGCTGGCGGAAAGTGCAGTCCCGGTGGAAATGCAGGGTACCACAGAATCGACACGCGTAGGGTGGTGATTTCGCTCGGTTGGATTGGGTGGGGCGCACGGAAGATTGCGCCCTAGGTGCCGTGGTGGTGTTCTGGATCATGGCTGAGTCGTGCTTTAGGTTCAGCAGCGTTTGACACTCCTCGGCCAGGTTCTGGAGTGTGACAGTGGTATCCTGTTGTAGCTTGGATAAGAGGCGCGTCCGGATATCAGCATCGTGTGTAGACTGGAGACCCGAGACGAAGATCAGGCATTCGTACCGCTTATACCAAGAATCGAACGTGACTCCAGTCTTGGCGTCGTACAGGAATTCACTGATGCCGCTAACGACATGGTCCACTGATTGAGAATTGCCAATCGAATCTGCCTGTAGGGAAGAACTGGAAAGTTTGTCGGTTAGCACGGACATCAATTTGAGTTGCTGCTGCAGCATAAGTTTCAAATCGGCGTACTCGTCTGTCATGGTTCGAAAGCTCTGTCGCCACTGTAACGGATTTGGGTAGCCCGGTCGCGTTAGCTTAGACGACAGTTATGAGCAACCTGAGCACGGACCCTATTCACGCGTGTATTCGGGTGACATGCCGTCCCCGTAAACGGACAACGATACGCACACAACCGGAGAGCTAGACGCGCGAGACTTAGGTACACATGCAGCAGCTGACTAAACGACGCGCGCGATCACGTAACCATGCGATTCCCAACAACCCACGAGAGACTAAAGAAGACGAAGCGGACCTCCGGGAGCTCTTTTACGACCCACAAAAGCCGAATTACAGTTGGAACAATGCTTCATTTTGTGGGTTAGCTGAATCACCACGTAGCGCTGGCGGTTTACGAAAAAATATTGTCCACTTTGGCCCGCTTGTGCTCCGACTCCGAGTGGCTGGATCCTGCTAAGTTTTTGGCAGGAATTGAACTCCGTGTTTCACAGCCCACGCACTGGAGTTTGTGGCGTATGTATGCGGGGTTCTTTGAGGTGACTGCAACAGCTATTTATATCGAGGTTCCTACATGCTTGTCAATTTTGCTGAGCTCGCTTTGATGAACAAACCGTTTGTCCTGAAGGACCGAGTTCTGTGACGGTCGCCTAACACAGCGTCCATTGTATGGAAGATAGGATGGAATCACATGCTTAATTTGACCACGAAGTTTATGAGAAATGTAGACATTAAGTCTTGATGGGACGGCGCAGAATAGCCGTCAGAAAGAATTATATGCATAACCTTGTCCATAGAAACAGTGTAGACCGCTAACGACTTACCGGTTATTGGATAATCCACATATCGTTTCGTACGCCCGTCGTAATACTCGGTTCCCTTCACAATAACTAGGTGAGCTGGAAAGTTGACACCCCAAGCCAAGGTTGAGGTGGCAATGAGCACCTACATGAAAACAGAGGAGCAAATGAGGTATAAACGGCACCGATAGATAAGGAAATGTGATCTGTCCACAGCGCTAATAGGGCTACCACGAGATTGATACGCTTTGATCAAAAGTGACCGAGGAAAAAATCAACAGGGGCTCAGGGCGCTGCTCGGCGGACATGGTAGGAAGCTCACCTGGATTTTTTGGTTGACGAACAATTCCTCGACAAGAGAGCGATCACCAGCCTGCAACCCGGCGTGGTGCAATCCGATACCGAATGACAGCGTCAATTTCAAGTTAGGATCTTGCACGTTAGCTGATACAGCATCTATCTGAAGGTGAAGTATTGGAGTAGAGATATCGTGTCAGGAAGCGAAAAAAGAAATATATGATCAAGTAATGCAACAGAGAGTTGATGGAAATGGATATCTCGGAAGTTGAGTTTCCAGTAAGCGTTCACTGACCAGGAGGCTAGTAGGAAGCATCGCTCGAATTGTACAAAGGGTCGAAAATACGAAATCTTTAGTATTATATCTGAAAATTTATCATGTCTAGACTCAGTCAGATAGCCATCACACGCCCGGAAATGTAGTTTACGGCTGGTTCATCCTATACCATTCAACACCTCTCTACTACTCCTTTGTAACCAGTATGCGGACTAAACTGCGTACAATGTCGTCAGTTAATTGGCGGCTTGAGTTTGAGAACACCTGAAACATGTAACTGTTTTCATTAATCATCTAATTGATTGGCTAGCCGAACAAGCTCCCCATGGTGCCAACTGGGTGATTCGGGTTAATCCCGTTCTAGAGAATGGTTCGGCGGTAGTGTTCAAGAACGTGGTGGGTTCCCGGATGGCAAGCGTTCTCCCCATAAAAAGCCACAGATGTCTGCTTAATGACACAGTGACGTGGCGGATTTGACTAGCCACTAAATAAAGTTACTGTCTCTTTTCTTTCCGGAGGATCTTTCCCATTTCACAAAGGTTATCCAGTTCGAAGAGTTCTTTTGACTCCCTCAAACGATGGCAAACACAGTGAATGAAATCACGAACTCAGAGTCACATTAACAAATTCACTCACCATGTCCACTTACACATACACCTATGTATATGATTGTCGAAATCCGGTTCCGCATTGGCCTATCACTGTGGGCTCCATAGGACAGCCACAGGACGCCTGCGCCTACAGAGAGACCATGGATGGCTTGCGCTACACCATCCACAGCTCCATCCACACACCCCATATCCAGTGTAAACCCATAGGTACACACATACACATAAATGGAATAGGTTACTGGTTAACTTGCGACATTTTCTGCGTACTTACCGATCATACGTGTTTGTATTATCATGATCGTGTATTTGGAGGCGTGCCTCGCACTGCTGAGAATAAACCATTTATTTATTTAACTTCGTCGCTTGGTGAGTGGGCTACCCTGTCCTCTGCACGGTAATAATATGCAAGTCAGTGGATAGTGAGCGGCGCTATCACATCTAGTAACTTATTCACGAAGGTCGTTGCCGTTCCCAGTAGCTCAGTGGTCTTAACTACAGACTGGCAAGTCGAGTTGGCAGTCTGAGCCCCACAGGGTTCAGATGGAATGCGCACTGCAGCCGATTCCCGAAAGGATGAAATGGCCGTAAAGTGGTTTTTCGGGCGTGTGGTAGCTGTCTGACTGAGTCTAGATGTGATGAATTTCTACCTATACCATTCGATTCCCCGCACTAATCATTCCAAATCTGCAAACCAGAAGTCTCAGGAAAACCACACAAAGAGGATAGATGTTTTTTTGACAAATACGAGGGAAGCGATTTCAATATGTAATTCCATCTGTTCCGGGTAGAGGTTTGCAATGACAATACTGGAGTGTGGTGTTTTTATGTGCACATACAAAGCCTGCGACACATTAGACGGACGCACCAAAGATGAGTAGACGATAGTCAGCAGTCACGTCAAAGAAATAGGTGTATATTGGTGAAAAATTCTAAGATATCAGCGGCGGTTTACATTGGAATTATGGAGAGCATAGTAGCGGAAACCAGGCAGGATTTATCAGATGACTGATGGTGCGTAAGCTGAAGAATTAAAACAAAAACGCGTAATAAACCCATGGATGAGCGCTTACCTCTTCAGGCTCCATGTGAAGCCAACGTTTCGCGTCCCCAGAGGCTGCGACAAAGCTGACCAAGTCCAACGCCGTAAGTCGCGTTTGACGTCGACTCGAGACGAAGATCAACACTGGTTTGTCCGGTGAGTGGCTACAGATGGCTGAGAAATTACACGGAAGAAGAGGTAGTGAAGGAGCATAAGCAGTGAAATGAACAGACGACAGCTTTAAGAATCCGGCAATCCACCATGAGTAAAATTACACCATCGTAAATACCCACCAAATTCAAATGCTCTTCAACGAACCGGCCAGTATGTATTGCGTTATGAAGATTCATAGCGTGTTCAATACAGGCAATAATAAGTTAATGTGGGATATCTTCCACCGAAAATGTCTAATGTTCGCATCCAGTCGTAGTTCTGGACAAGTAAAAGATGTGCTCTTATTATTGCGGTGATCAATTCTAAGCGGTCTTAAAAACACATCCAAAGTGCGTATCGGTGGTCCGAATAGTACATGTCGGGATCTGAACGGTGGTTTGTAATTGGCTAGAATGAGAGCAAATGTGTAATGAAAAGAAATAAAAAAATCTACCAAACAAAATGTATGGCGTAGATTAGAAAAAAGAACAAACAGTTAGAATTGACAACATAATGGGAAGGGCACGGATAATTATTCGTCAAACCCTACTAGATTGCAGTCGTTGTCACTGAAATGCCCGCGCAACTGAACTGCATAGTTATTTCCCTTATCTCCTCAGTTTCAGCAAACAATATCAGGTCGGCACCAACACGTGCTGTGACCACGCTGAGATCCCCCAGCTAGCGTTACGAAATACACTTGCAAGCACCGCGTTGCACAGTGTACCGTAGTCGAGCACATCAAGGATATAGTTATCATCACAGAAGACCGAACATCAGTTGCAAAGATCATCCTCATCATCACACGTTAGGTTAGTTTTTGGTGACAAGTGCAGCTGCTATTGTGCCGCAACACAGAGGTAAGACACTGAACATTACAGAATACAAAAACTAAAAAGGTAATATAACGCGAAGTATAATAATACGCATTAAAGGGGAAATCGTGGTTGGAGGCAGAAGCTAAGCGAGAGAGGAACAAAGAAATCCACAACATAAGTGCCGATGAGATCGGCTCTTCGCCATATCAACAAGCGTATCCGAGCAAACGTGTACATCGTCCTTCGGACCACAGTGCAGCAGTCGGGAAACAACAACCGACGCCAAGTTTGAAGTAAGAACCTTCATTACTCTTGACCAAGTCATAGCCCAGGCTTCTCTTCCATCCCCACCCCGATCGCGCGAACAATCCACGCGGTCGGTGTGCTGGCGTACGCAACACATGGCCCAGCCATCGGAACCCGGGGCGGGATATAACGGTGGTGCTGAGCGATTTACTCGTTTTTGCTGCACCATATACACGACGCCGAACACGCTGATTGCTCATGCAATGTTCCCAGTAGACGCGAGCTAAACTGCGAAAGCAATGATTGTCGGGCGTAACAAGCCTTTTCAGGTCTGTCGATCTGATGGGCTAGGTTTCGTAACTGCAGAGTAGGGTTAAACACAAGGATGCGTTGTAAACCCTGCCCTTCAGAGTAAGTGACGTCGCGCTGGCGCCACCAGTGGGAGAGATTGGCGGAAGCGTCACGAGGTTTTACTATACGGTTCATAATCTCATCATAGATCCCACGAGAGCTACCTAGATCTGTAAGACTTCTGAATGATCACCACCAAGGATCAGCGCAAGATTGGGTCTCTGCCAAATTTAAAGAAGTTTGCACTTCGAAGGGTAAAAGTCCAAAACAATTGACAACCAGTGCTATTCTGTCCAATGCTATGGGCACGTTTGTGAGCTGCCACAGATTAGAGCAATGTCGTCGGCATACTCTAAGTCAAGAAGTCGATCAGCTTGGACCAGCCCCATTCCTTGTGCAGTGTGCCTAACAAAAGCAGTTTTCAGGACCGACAATGGCGAAATCAAGGATACGTGACAGAAAGCAACCTAAGCTCACACCGCTGGAAATATTGGCGAAGGTCTACCATAATCTCTCACTCTGCTCGAAGTACGCGCGTAAAGCGCTTTTATGATATTCACATATTCCTAGAACACACCTTTCCTGAACAGAGAGTACCAAAGAGAACATCTATCAACCCAATCGAAGCCGCCTTTAATGTCGAGGAACACGAGTATAATGGGTCGCCAATAAATATGGTAGTGTCCCAGAAACTGATGTAAAACGAAGGACGTGGCCTATGCAGCCAAGATTTCGATGAAACCCAGCCTGCTTCTCACGAATGTGGCTTTCACGGGTTCCAGTCAGTCTCTAGAGTAAGAGAGAGGTGAGCAACTTAGAGGCAACTGTGATCAGAATGATCCCTCCATGATTGCCGCACTCCGAACGTGAGACTCCCTTGGAAATTGGGACTTGCACTGTGATCTGCTAGAACAGTCCCTTGCTCCCACAGCTTCACTAGTAATTTGTGCAAATCATCCATGAGAGCTGGTCCCCGAATTTATAAAGTGTCACGGGGGCGAAACAGCTGACCACGATGGTGCACACTAGCGGGGCGAGATCAGCCAGATCAAGTGAGCGGCTGACAGACTCGTTGTCATAGTCAAACCGGAAGCTGACGAAACCAGACAACAGATGTGAGTCACCTCAGCGAGGTAAGCCCATGTAACTTATAAAAGTAGCAATGTGCTGTGCCTAATATACTTCGGTCTAGCAGGCTCAGCGTTTTGTTTTCCCCGGCTGGTTAGTAGCGCAGAGAGACAGGGGCAAAGGGCAGCGTTACAACATAAAGGACTGGAGGAAGTCTATCTGCTCCTTCGGTCTTACTAAATTTCAACGTTCGACATTTGTGATGAAAGTGGATCCGGTGGGACAACCCAAGAAGAATGGTAAGATGATAACAGGTAAAGTAAACTGCTTTTCAAAGTGTTCGGCCCGATTCTCCGATCGTTTTGACAAGTTTTGAATTGGTTGTCCACTCGTCGCGTATGGTGTTGCTAACATCAGGTCTCCTGTTGCCCGTTTCCAGTATCAGACGGAATAACTTCCAGCAGTAATCAATCGCGATGTGATCGGTTTGCGTCCATAGCCAGTCCGAGGCAGATGGGCGCCATCTCACCCTCCGGCTGGTACTGTGTCGAAAGTTAGTGCTTGTAAGAAATAGAAAACATCTTCACACAAGTGTAGCAACGGCTTACCGTTGTCATTACGGGAGTCTACACCATGTTTGCTGCTCAGATGCAGCTCGTCAGTGGAAAGTCCTCCAAGATAACAGTTCATATCACAAGCCAGCATCCCAGTATCCGTACATTTTCTATAACGAATGAGCTCGTTCAGTTGGTGATAGAAGTCATTCTTCACCAAGTCAGTGCTACAGCTCGTGGGCGTGAATGCAGCAATGTCAAACAAGCACTGTTTGTCGCCGCGCGACTTCGAAGCTTTAAATGGGCCGGCGCACATTCGACTGCTGACTAGAAGCTTTAGCCCGGAGCTCAGAGCAATGCTCATAGCAGCTTGACCGGCATTCAAAGCCCCGTCATTTCCGATTAAACGCAAGTTAAGCACGGAGCTCGAAGTTCGCGGAAGAGCTTCCGATAAACAACAGGTATCGATCGACAGGGTCTCTACTGTTCGATCAAGTGCTGTTTGTTGGCCAAGCTATAGGTTGAAACTCGAGGGCTACGAGAAACAGATGCGCTGACGTTGTCTGCTTGGTTGAACATGTTGTCGACTGCACTGGAGCGAAGCCCTGCGATAGCGTGTGAGCGGAAGCAAGATGGGGAAAGTCAAGAATTGGAGGCTAAAACAGAGAGATCAAAGTGAAGTTAGAACGGGACGATAAAGATGAAAAAGTGCAAGAAGACGGGAATGTCCAAGCAGTAGCATCCGAACCCCTACCTACCCTGCTCGATGCAGCAGAGAGGGTGCCGCTGATTAATCTCTGCGATGACTAAAGCACCAGGAAATTGTTTGGATGTCATTGCATTGCGTTGATAAGATACTGTCAGGTTGCCTAGGCGTAGACAAAAGAACGATTAGGGTTATCAATCAAAGCCTTTGCTTCAAAAACTTGACCGCGCGACAGCAGGGTTTTGGCACTGGGCTACAAAGAGTGCGTTTTATAAAGTAAGGAACCATCCTCACTCCAACCTCTAACGTGAAGAGCCAGAGGCTTGAGTTTGTCTGGCTTCTAACCATCGACCAATCTGGTACGAGTGGCTCTGAAGATGCAAAAGACACCACCTAGCATCGTTGAGACACGCAAACCATCGCATCACGTTCGGGTCCAATCTGATCGAGATGGAGGCGCAGATATAGAACTTAAGGGAGACAAGGAGCTGAAATCGATGACGCATTTCCACGTCGAAAGTGGAAAAAATTGAAGGCCACGCCCCTCCGAAATTTAAGCATTCATACCTAAATAGGCAGGCTTGTTCATCGTGGCCATCCGAGGGCAATAGTGTCTGCCCGCATATCCCTGAATGTGAACTTCCAACGGGACGGGACGCACTGATGGACGGAAGTTAAAGAGTCCAAGACCAGTCCGTCCCATGTCCGAGCCGGCTGACGTAGCCACTTCGGCAATAGATGCCATATTCGAGGGAACACGAAGCCATGCGGAAAGGTCGTCTGCATTGGACAAGGCAGTGGACAGGCCGACCAAGCGAACCGACTGACCCAACACATTCGCTATGTAATTGGCGCGGGAGACGATAATCTGGAACGGGAAAGCAGAGAATCAGGGGAAGCACGTAAAGTTGATAGTTTCAAATGGAACCGAAACATTATAACTGGCGGATGGTGGGAATCAACGCACTTCCAAAACAGGACCGCGTTCTTCCCCCAGCAAATGTATCTCATCGATGATTATTAGGCCAATGTGCCGAACGTAAACACGTTGTTGCCAAGACCGCGAGATACCGTCCCATTTCTCAGGTGTGGTTACGATGAGGTCGGCACGCATCAGGTGACCGATGTCAGGAGTGACATCACCGGTTAATTCAACTACCCTGGTTAGAAAGGAACGGGACAGAGATGGCTGGGGAAAAGGTGAGCAAGGATGAAGTAAATTAATAAAGTCAAAGATTTGGAATAAATTCAGCACAACCAGTCCGGGGAAAATAGCTATCAATGCTTGGCAAAACAACCGGTGGTTGCTTTTTTTCAAGGCTGGTAAGCACTTCGCAATGCATCGGTTCAGTGACGGGCCCAAAACAATGATCTCATGAGCGCCAGAAGCCAATATGCTTGAGTGAATAGTTGTGGTATGATGGGGCCCACTCACCGGCGGCTTACACTTCGCTGTTGTTATGAAGGGAAAAGGGTAGCACCATCCCAATCAAAATAGTACCGAACTTAAGCAGCTAATGAACCAGCTGTCGCAATCAGGTTAGAAACAATGTTGGTGAAAGTGTTGCGAATGGATATGGATCTGTGTAGAATCCACTCTATTAGAAAGGAATAAATCGCCAGTAGCATTCTCTAACATTACTTCAACAAGTTCATATGTATGTACAAGGGTCATGTTCGCAAAAGGAGAGTTGAAAAGCACCGCGTAAGCAAGGTAAGCAAACAAAATTGAAAAATCAATGGCCACAAAGGCGTCAGGCGCCATGTGATGCTGTGATGGAAGAGAAAGCGTGACGGATGGAGACGAGAAGAAGATGGAAACACGGTGAGAATCCAGTCAGTCCCGAGGCAAGCTGTAACTGCCAGGAACAAAGAGTGTTGAAGTCACAGTAGGAAGAAGGCCGCGGAGCCAACTCCGCGGCCTACGACTCGAAGAGGATAGAGCACGACAATGGAACCACTAAGACGCATCAGATGGAATAGTCAGTTTGGCGATAAGTATCCAACGAGCATCATTACATTGCTCAACGGCACATGCTATCTTGCAGCACCGCAAACGAATAGCGCCACATGTTAAGCGGTGAATCCATTAAGAATTGAATAGTTTTCCAGAAACGGATAGCCAATGGCGGGGTTGCAACATGGACAACCAAGAGACTACAACTATCTACAGTAAATGGGCATTGAAGTTTAACACAGTTATTGGTCAGTATCGTTTTGAGGGTGGGGAAGGACAGTCAAATGTTGATGAATTAAAGTAGGCTGGTGGAACCAAAGGATGACGAAGAGCAAAGCAATATGGTCGGTATTTTCAAGGCCAGGAGGGCCATGATCTAAAAATATCTCAGTGCCTATGACCAGCTAATCATTGCTATTGCCAGAGTCTCCGGAACGGTAAATGTGAAATCTTGATCTACAGAGAATGCGGAAGGTAGACGAGAAATCTCGATATGCCTTCATCTTCTACACAATGTGTATGCACAAATTCTTCGTTTAGGAAGGATGACAAGCTAAGGTAAAAGTTAGTCAACTTAGATTTCGTTAAGAACACCAGATCCAGAGATGTGCATGGGCCAGCAGAAAACAAGTTGGTTGGAAGCTAAACGCAGATTGGTATACTCTTAGGATGAGACCACGCCGTATACGGTTTTGACCCAAAGGAAAGTAAGATCAGGATCCGGAAAAGCGGGGACTGTGGGTACGTCAGAACAGGCAGCACGTTTACCAGTAAAATTCCGTTGGTGGCTAGTAGTCCCTTCCGCAACAGGTACCTGTGTATTAAGAGCTCCACGATAATCAAATGCTCATCTAGACAACCGTGAGCAGACTTGATGGGCTAACGCCAATGACGGATCAACGGGGGTGTCGAGCGTTTTCAACAAATATTTCCACCACCTACTCAATGCAATCAGTTGTGTGGGCAAAAAACCGTCCCTAGAAGCAAAAGATGAAAACTAAAACACTAACTGCCAATCCTTGAATGTATTGGGGTTTAGATAAAGTATAGATGACGCCGCGTAAAACATCAATTATAATGGTTCTGATCTCGACCGGCAAGCACAACGATGATGAGGATTGTCCAGATCCACGGAAACAAGGCTTCGGTTAAGATAATTTTGAATTACGATTAAATGAAGGAGCATTCTAAAGCCTATTGAGTGTACCGGAGATAACAGTAGTTGACGATGTGTGAGACTGACTAGATTCGCACAATGACTTCATGCTGGAATGAAGTGAACAAAGTGCTCTGATACTCCTGTTTGGAATGATAAATGGAATATCATGCTTCAATTTTAATACCCCACCTAGTAGTTGAGATTGTAATCAACCGGGTGAAGCGACGGTAAATGATGCACGCCGAGGTAGGCCGATCAGCAAGTACACGAGGGATGTGACCCAATCAATGCAAACGGTTTGAGTAACTGCCCAAAACGACACAACTGTCTGGGTGACTATTCGGTGACATTTAGTACCGACCAGATCCTATAACAGCGCAGCAGACCTCGGTGGGAAGGTCGTGTCAAAGAATGCAGCGCTTTTCCAGTACGTTCATCGCAGCGAGATTCAACTAGACAACTACATCTAGAAAAGCGTTAGGCAACCGTTTCACACTGTGGAGAAAGCGGTGCGGTGCGAACGAGTTGCGTACTAGAGAACGAATGTATACATGGTATAACTTTTCTAATACAGAACAGTCGGACTTATTTGCACACATCATTTGTGGTGCCATCTGATTCCACGCTGCGCCTGGTGCTGTCGACTCAGCTTGCCGTGACGGCTCGGTATAGGTTCAACGCTCCAACGCCACCTATTCTCAGGGCTGGTTGAAGTGTGCACTACGCGCACGTCGTCCGCGGTGATCCACTATTCGCTAGGTTCATCGCGCCTGCTCGTTTTACCACACTACTCATTGGTAGTGCACCACAATACTATTGCGACTCGTCCGCAGCGCGTAATCGAAGGAGAACGCCGGATTCAAACCCAAGACCTTACTCTTACGACCCGACGAATTAAGTATGAGGATTAACCACGGTAATTTTTTTATAGAAAAACAAACAAACTAGGAGCAACACGGTCAGGTACAACGCGCAGCATTCACATTCTGCGTCAAACAAATTGTGCTTATAATCCTTAAGCTGCCGTATCCCATGTCCGGAGTTAAGAAAAGACGGTTATAGATCAACAGCGAAGTAACTACCGGGATTGAGTATACCTTATCTAAAATCCTCGATCTGCTCGGGGAGGGTGGCAGCCAGTTCCAAATCAGACAGTCGGAAAAACACTAGTGCAGTTTCAGCCTGTTGGGCATCATCAATAATGTGCATCTATCGGATCCCTCAGGATGCTAACCCATGACATACACACTACTAATGATGTTCAACAGGCTGAAACTGCAGCCCAGTGCCTTTCGCAGCAGGTATAGGGCTATCTGATTTGGAACAAGCTGCGACGAACCCTCAATTAATTATATCAAAATCCCCTGCTCATGACTACATCAAATGTGCGTATATTTCTCCAAAGTACGAGAAATAGTTACAAAAATAGGATAGATCAGAATTGAGAAATGAGCATGCTCTTGTATAAGTGATAACTGACGACAAGTTTAACTTTTTATATAATTTTAGTCCATCCCGGAATGTGCATCAGGTGATTTGTTGGATGAGAACATGGATGATAGCACTACTAGATCAAGAAAACTATCGAATTTGGTGTGGAATGATGTTGGGCTTTACATGCCTAGATTATGGTTGACAGGCTGTTCCACAAGATGGTGTATCTGAGGAGAAAAACGTTAGAGCGCATAGTTATTATAGCCCGTGATACAAGTAGCGTATATCTTGAGTTGCGGAATTGTTGATGAGTATCTTGCCTTATCTCTAAATTAGGTAAATAGGAGTACGTTTTCTGAAATAGTAAATTGTGCAGCAGCATTAGGTTTTGCTTCAGACATTGCAGCCAGAGGGGATCGATGTGAACCTGCTTATAACATTCAAGAAAATTTAGTGCAGATATGCCACTGAACAAATATTTGGTGAATAATCTCTACATTCTCCGCAGTCACCTGGTGCAGCCCACGGACTGCTCAGGCATGCAGCCTATCACTTCACACTAGGATCCAATTATCAGGTATCCAGCGAGGACAGGTTCAAGCTAACGAAAGCTCAGTCCCACAGCCGGAGAACGTGCATATGAGGGCGTACGAATCGTCACTTCGAAAAAAAAACAGAAATAATATCGTTGGAAATATGGGCCCATTTCATCTACTACTTCTTCTATTAGTAGTCAGCAAAGTCATGGAGAAACCACATCTAGGTCAGTAAATGTGCTAACTAAAGCAGTCTGGAGTTATTCAAGTTAAAGTCAAAACCAAATGCAATGTACAACAGCAACATAGCTTGACTGAGACAAGGGAGAACAATCGGAGCTGTTGTAACAGTGAACGAAGTCGCAATGCAGCACTAACGTCGCAGTATGTGCGCGTGCACTTGATGCTGTGACTAGAGAATACAACGTGCAGATGAGGAGTATACCGATGATTGCCTCGGCTCCCAACGGGACAAGTGGCAGATGTGAGGCGGCACGCCCAAGAAACAAAAGAGCCAGTTGTCACTACCGCAACAAAAAGGCCTACACGAAGATGCAACGAGAGTTGGCCTCAACACTCACCGCTTGCCCAGTTTTTCTCCGATTCGAACAGTCCAATCCTCAACGCGCTCACGCACGAGCGCTTTCAAGGGGGCGATGTACACGCACTGAAGCGAAATGAAATGGAGCATAAGTAACAGTTGGTTTATACCAAGTGAAAGAAAATATCGGAAGGCGTACCTTGCTTTTGGGAGTCTCGTTGAACACGCGAAATATGGCCAATTCGGCAGCCACAGTCTTCCCGGAGCCCGTAGGAGCACCAAGTAGAACATTAACATCCTGATGGTACAGCGTGTGGAAGATCTGCGTCTGGATGGGGTTAAAATGTGTGAAATTGTACAACATCTCGTATTGGCTATTCCCCAGAGCCGTGACAGGTAGGGGTTCCAAGTTCAGAAGATCTGGAAAAAGAATCGCATAAGGGATCATGGTAATAGACTGGTTTCGTGTTAGGAGTACCACTGAATCAAATTTGAGCATTGCCAGAGTGTCGGTGGTAGGAGCACTTACGATTCGGTCGGAAGTACAAGGGACTCTACCTGAATTCGTTTTCAGTCCGGTAGTTGAACAGACGTTAGATGATGGAAACTCAGTGACCGCTACCAATCAGTGCCAGTGCGTGCGGTCTGGAGCCGGTAGAACCCCAAGAACAGCTGCGATTGTATACAACCGGCCACAAGTGAAGTGCAAGGAACAGTTGCACCATTATGTAACCAGCGAATGCAAAATGGTCGTGAGAATGAGCTGGAAGTACTCAGTCGACAAACTATTCGTTTAACACAATGTAAAGTGCACTGTTTCAAAAGAATTATATAATAGATAAAAAGATGAAAACGCAGTGCGGACAGTACAAAAGGTACCCAGCGCTAAAACGGAGAACACCAACTAAAGTTTAATGCATTGAATGAGTACTGACGACGGTGCATACAAGAAGTAAACGCCAAGGAGTAAGAGGTGTAGTTACAGGAAGTTCCGCTTAGAAGCCAAATAATGGGGAAAATGAGTTACATTATGTGCCTGCCAACAATGATGCTGCAGTCTCGGAGTAACATGTTCAAGTAAAATGAAGGAGGGTGTAACTGGGTCTGGAAACTCTCATGACCAGTCCTCACGCCTAAGCTATTCAAACGGTTTACTCGTTCGACGTACAACACGGTGCAATCGGTAAACTGGAGAAGAGCATGTGTCAATTCAATACAAACTAATGCGCACTCAATCACTTACTCGCCTCAAGAGTTTACTAACGTAACAGATGAACACAAAATATGTGTTTTGGTGGAAAGTAATACGAGGTCTATCACAGTAAGTGAATCGTCCCAGTAGGAAGTTTGAGTGATGTTAGAAGCGATGAGGCACAATAGTTCAAATCATTTGAAAAATACGGAAGCCATTTTTAAATTCAGAAGCGATTTGATTCTCCTGAAGACGGCTAGGGGACCGTCGCTGTCACGTGATGTCCATAGCTTCGGGAGGATCTGAAAGCCTAAACCTAAGATAGTCATAAGGCCATGAGGAACACGAAAGCCACTGAGAGGTCAAATGCACTTCTGAGTTGCGTGCCATACAAATAACAACATCTACGTGGATACTGTTGCCGTGTATCCGAAAAATATATATATATATATATATATATATATATATATATATGAGTTGTGTGGGCAAGGTGATCGTCCGAATCCTGCTCAACCGCCACGTCACTCAGGCTGTGGAACCTAACGTGGCCGAAAAGCAGTGTGGATTCCGCTCTGGTCGCAGCACAATATATATGGTGTTTGTGACTCGTCAGTTGCAAGAGAAGTGCAGAGAACGACACCAGCCGTTGTACTCGCTTTTTGTTGATTTCACCAAGGCATTTGATACGGTGAAACGCGAGGCATTGTGGCTGGTGTTGGGTAAGTTTGGTTGCCCGCGTAAGTTTGTAAGTTTAATTGAATGTCTGCGCAGTGGTATGCGAACGAGGGTGCAGCTGAGTGGAGAGACCTCGGATGACTTTGCAGTTGTCTCTGGTGTGAAGCAAGGCTGTGTCTTAGCTCCTGCCCTGTTTAATATATATCTTCATGCCATGGTGTCTTGCGCTTTTGATGTCACTTGTGCTTACGGTGTGTGTGTGTGGAGCACCGTATTGATGGTTGGTTGCTGAACTTCCGTCGTTTCGGTGCGAGAACCCGTTGTCTGTGAGACAACTATCCGTAGGTTGCTGTTTGCTGACGACTGTGCGTTGTTTTCACACAGCGCGGATGAGTTGCAGCATATGACTAGTGCTCTGGCTTCGACAGCGGCCAAACTCGGGCACACAATCAACACAAGCAAAACTGTCTGTCTCTTACAGCCTTCACCGGAGGTGCAATCTTCAATATTGCCGCGAATCAGCATTGGTGCTGAAGTATTGGAAACCGCCTTCCGCTACTGCTACCTTGGGGGTATGATGTCGACAGCAGCTACACAGGAGCTACACACTGAGCTGCGTATCCGCGTCTCGAAGGCAGCGGCGGCATTCGGGAAGCTTGAGTACCGAGTGTGGAACAACCATCAGCTTACCATTGGCATGAAGCTGATGGTGTACAAATCCATGGTGCTGTCCGTTCTTCTATACGGCAGTGAAACGTGGACGATGTACCGGCGGGATGTGCGATATCTCGAGCGGTTCCATCAGCAGTGTTTACGACGAATTTTGCGCGCCGGTTGGGGCTACAGAGTTGCTGACACGGAAGTGTTGCGACAAAGTGGAATGTATGCAGTGGACTGCATACTTTTGCTGAGACACCTGAGGTGGATCGGTCATGTGAGCCGTATGGATTCAACGCGGATACCGAAACAACTTTTATACGGTCAGCTGAGTATTGGGAAGCGGCACGTGGGGAAACCAAAGTTACGTTACCAGGACATGATTAAAGTGAGCCTCTCATACTATAATCTAGATTACAGGTCATGGGAATAAAAAGCTGTTGATCGGCGTGCATGGCGCGATCTGATCACGAAGGCAGTTGCCGAAGTACGGGAGAAAGACCTCATACATGCAGAGAAGCGGTAAGTGCGGAAGCGACAAGCACCGATGGGTTGTACTCCATCGACATCGAGCGCATGGTGCCGTAGCACATGCAGTCGCGAGTGCCTGAGTCAGGCAGGCCTAGTGAGACATGAGCGAGGCCACTCGGGACCACTACCGAAGCGACGACGGTTCCTGCAGAGAACGTAGGTAGAACCGGCGCAACGTTTGTACGTAGGCTGCATTCGATTTACTAACCGCGTGCTTGTATGCTAAGTCTATTTTGTTCAGGTGGTGGGTTTGCAATTTTGTCCTAATGCTTTTCTTTCTCATATAAATGTCTAAAAGTACTCTTTTCTATACACTTGCACACGTCGGTTAAGCCAACTGTAGTTAATTTCGATAACTTTTTCGGGTTTGTGGCATTTCCGCAAAATGTACTCTCTGATCTCGTGAACTTATCTCGGATTCTTTTGTAAACAACTTATTTCATATGCTCATTAAGTTAGGATTGATGTCACCGCTTCCTTATGCATTAGTACTATAACATCTGTCCGTATAGCTTCTAAGTCCTTTGCTGTGCATGGGCGCTATGCAGAAAGTCCTAGCTCGTGAGGCTAACCATTGTCCTCTGCACAGTTCGTAACTGGCATGGCAGTGGAAGATGAGCCGGGCTATATCATAGTCAACTGCCAATCACGCAGGTCTACGGCTGTCACCCATGGCGAAGTGGCATTAGCTACTGGCATCCAGAAGTCATGGGGGCGGAATCCGGCAAGGTTCCGCTGGGAGGCGCACCACTGACGAGACCCAAAAGGTCGAAACGCCGGCGTCTGGTGCTTTTCCAGATTAGCCTAATCCTGCTGATTGGGAGTGGGCGATGATGAATTAGCTGCACATTACTCGATTTATTTTATTTATCTTTCTCTCAAGTGATTGGTTGTTGCTTGATATCCACGGTGTGGCTGCGCTTGATGTGCATGTTGACAAGGTGCCTACATGTCTGTTACCCACTAACTCATCCATACTGGCTCTAGGAGACAGTTGGCTATTGGTGGAAGGGACGGGGGTACACGGTTCTTGTGGTTGTGTTAGCCTCGAAGAATGGTTCCATGCACTTAGTGTGGAGGGGATTACGGTCCAGCCACCGCCTTGTGTGCGATTGATTCCAAAATACAGTGTGCTTGTGTTTGCCTGTGAAGGATTGTGGGTCGGCCCCGTTGATGGAACGTGGCTCCCATCCACATGCCTCCCGGTCTTATTCCTTCGGGTTTACACTGGAAATGGGGTGTGGTTGGAGCTGTGAATTGTGCAGCGCAAGCCACCCATCGTCCCTCTGTAGGCGCAGGCGTCTTGTGGCTAGCCACAGTGACAGGCAAATCCGAAACCGGATGCCACCAACCATATACGGTGCCCACAAAGCCAGGGCACATGTGCGAAAATGCAACTTTTTATTCAGAAAACATCTGTGAAATGGATGCTTTCAATAGTCTTTGGAAAACGGTTCACACATTTGAATTTGCCTATGAGAGTTATTCTCTGTTAGGTGTTGCACGATTTGAAGTCAGGGTAAGGGAAGATATGCTTTCATCTTCAGGCTTATACAATTATATGCAAATCAAAATATGCGGAGAGACATTACAAGTCGTTACTACTACAGCGAGTTGATTGGATGCTGACAGCGCTGTCTGTTAAGCCACGACAACCGACAGCGTGTTATCTCGTGTGTCAGAGGTCACTGGATGTTCGGGCCAGGGCAGTCCCAAGCCTTTAGTTAGCTTCTTCTGAACACATAGGTCCGGTTCATACAGCCGAATCGAAATTGCTACAGCGGCTTCTAGTAGTCGCTTGAGGGACGTAGTTCGAGCGGTTCTTTGGGGCCTGATAGATAATTTTGAACGAATCAGTGTACTTCGTGACGTGTCCTATATCGGCTGGGTGCGCGGCCACTGAAGAGTTCGCTGTATTTCCACTTTCAGTTCTAAGCCCGACCTGGTGGTGTTGCTCCATTCTCTCAGATAGACGCCATGTCGTACGACCAATGTATTCCGCTCCACAGGAGCATTAAAATGAGTAGATACACATTGAATTGGTGTGGACAGGCCTCTTATCCCTTGAGTTTAGTCTGGCCATCGGAATGTTAGTGAAATGGATTTGCATCTGTGCTGCTGGATAGATGCGTCTGTGTGCAAACGAAAGACGACGAGATAGAAGTTCCGTCGCAACCTCGCCCTTGTATGGCAGTTGTAGGAAGATTGGTTTACGTTCTACTGTCAAAACTATAGGCTTTTTCTGATGTTCCATGTTGGCTCTGATAAAGCTTTCCGGATAGCCATTCTCCCTTAGAACTAAGCGAATGTACTCCAATTCTTCCGGAAGCGTGTCGTTCTTGCATCATCATCATCATCATCATCATCATCATCATACACGTTAGCTAGAGGTGGGGAACACCTCAGCTACTGTGCTACTGTCGTCCTGGCAGATAAGTTCAGCTCAGCTCACTAGAGTATTTAACAAATTCCGTTTAAACCTAAATGGCACAAAGCTGTAGAAGTTTGTATACTGCACATTCCACGCACCTTTCCTATAGACGTAGCGCTGCAGCGTACCCCCATCCAGTCTTGTCATGGCGACATCGAGGAAATGAAAGCGACTGTTTTCCTCAACTTCGCAGGTGAACTTTATTACTGGATGGCCTTGGTTGAGCTTGTTTATTAGTTCCTCGATACTTCGAGACGACTGAAGCAAGACAAAAAATGTCGTCTAGGTAACAGCAATATAAACCGAGAATTGGGATCATCGGCTTTAGCTTTCCCTGTTCCAGCATGCCCATGAAGACGTCGGTGAGGAATGGACCCAGTGGGGAACCCATCGCACTGCCGGTATAATTCACCACTGAACATAAACTGAACATTGAACGTGCATCTGAGTAGTAGTTCCTTTAGGATCACCGTGGGGATGCCAACCTTAATGTGGTTTGCATCAACATACTCACAGATGCAGTTTATAGTCTCAACTAATGGTACGTTGGTCAAGGAAGCACATGGTTAGATTGGAAACATTTACATCACGCACGATATCCACGTAAGAATCAAAACCAGCCACCGAGCAATCGAGTGATATGGGGGTTTTCATATCTGAAACGATTCGTAACTTGTATGGATGAAAATTGCGCTGTGTTAAACTTTGGACGATGGCTGATTTTGGAATACCTAACTCCATAAATGTACTGCGGCTTGATTGTCCTGCTCGCGGAGCGCAATGGTCTAGTGATCATGGTGATAACCGCCAATCATTATGTGCCAAATTCCAATCCCAATTCAGGCTATCTCTATCTGATGAGCCCAAACCGGGACGAAACGCGTCGTGGAGTGTAGGGATGGCACAGAGCAACAACGAAACCCTCTGGTTCTGCGGATTGATTATTCGGACTTCTAGAGACAAGGACTTGTAGAGACAAGGATATCTTTCGTTTTGACTGATACACTTGGTAGCCTAGAACGAGATTCGTATTTCATTTTAATTTATGACATATATTCGATTATCTTGCGTCTTGACTTTAAGGGCACTCTGTATGTATCTACTAAGGGTGCTGACAGGCTTCTGACTTTTTTTTCCCTTCCAAGAGCATAAGATACCTTAACATCTTAATACCTGAGTCTGCAAATACTAGGTGATTGTGATATTAGCAAATAAGTTTATTAAAGAAAGAAGCTGTGATAGCAGAGGTAGAAACAGGTTTCACAAGTTTTGGTTTCTCCAGAAAACGTCCGCAAAGAAAATTCACAACGAGATGCTACAAATACTGGAGAAGTGTCCTCTCTACAGTACTGTCAAAATCTGGAGATCTCGTTTAAATACTGCTTATTTCAACATTCGAGATGAGCCCCATAGTAGGCGTCCCGAAACCTCAACTAACCCAGCAACGCACGAGGCTGTCCATGGACCGATTGTGCAGGACCGGCCAATATCCGCTAAAAGGATCACATAGAGAAAGAAAGGCATCAGCAGTACGCCGGTACACGGTACCGACGCTTCGCTGCCGCGCAACCACCATCGGCCGCACATAGGCTAAGGATATTACGGGGGTTGCCCTGCCCCTACGCAGGCTCCAACTCGCGTCGTCAGATTACAAGACAAGCTCGCGAACTATAGGTTATGGGCCAGCCCAGATGCTGGAAATGTTACAGAAGCGTGTTTGTCTTCCTATCCATACTATTCTAGACGTTCGTTAGATTTCAGCAACGTGGGTGCCCAAATGTTTGACACGTGATCGGAAAAAAACGGGTTGAATCATCTGAGAACATTTTGTCACGGAAGTTTTTGACTAAGGATGAAACCTGACTTTACATATATGATCCTGGAACCAAAGAGATGGTCGAAGGAATGGCGCTACAGTAGGTCCTGCGGCCGAAGAAGTTCCGCAGCCGAAAGGCGGCCAGAAAAAGTACGAAAGCAGATGAGAAAGAAGCGATCTGAATTAATGCACTCGCCACCGTAGTTAATTGAAACTAGAATAAACGCGCACAAAAGCCAATCCGTACCAGTGTGTGGTGAAGCTTGGGAAGGCAGAAGTAAGCGGCTGAAAGACAATGCGCAAAGAGAGTCGGCACCAAGCCATTGGTCGCTGAGGACGCGAACGACGTATTGGGTTGGAAACGGTTCAAACAGCGGGATTGTGCAGGAGACTTGAATGGGTTCCTTGGAGTTGAACTGCGAGGAAGTAAACGGAAAATAAGGTGAGCATAGTGGAGTCGGGATGCAGCAAAGTGATCACAACGAAGTGCTGGCACTCACCATACGCTTGGTCAAAGTCCAGTATTCCGAATGGTAGATCAATCCCTGATCAGGGTCCTCAATCCAGAGCCAGAAATTTTGCTGTGCGCCATGCCATCGATCGACCCAAGTGAAATCTGGCACAAGCGAAATTTGTGCACGCAGTATGGTTCGGGTGATCGGCTGAGTCACTGTGTCCAGCTGAATTCGAGGAAGAAGTAAGGCAAGCTGAGACACTTCTTTGGCGCCATCGCGGCCTCGATAATGAAGCAGATGTGCTAGAAAAGAATCAGGAAAGCGAAACGCTGTTAGCTGCTATACATGGTTCATGCACTGGAAAAACAGCATCCGAGGAGAGGGTTGTATACATCATAAATGTTGGAGAAGGGTAAAATTCGACGTTTGGCCTAAGGCAAGTGGCGGACACACACACAAGAGTTTGACAGTCTCAGCGAAAAGGTAAACCGACCGGTGAAACCGGCAGATCCACGAGAAAATGAGGTAGACTAAACACAGGAGCTCTCAGCTTATTGATAAATGCAAAAACGTGCCATGATGCATTTATATGCTTGCTGAGCAATTAGACTAGAAAAATGCAACTACTTTTAGTAGCTAACCTGTTTTTCATGAAACGTTCGTAAATGAAATGAGGTATTCAGCAAAGACGCGATGTGTTTGCACAGGTGTTCGCCTGACATACTGGTTCGGCAGTGCCAATACTACCAATATTGGTCGGACATGGAAATAGTTTAGCAAATAATCTATGTTCGACTGAAGCGACATATTTACCTCAGAATGCAGCAGATAGTGACGATGCTGTGACATATTGTATGCCTCCTGGATGTACCCTACGGAGTACATGTGCTAGACAAGATGTCGTTGCCACAATTAAGAGACAGAAGAATCATTCAAACAAATGTACTGGGCATACAGATAATGTGAAACCTGACGGACAATACGACAAAGGCACCGATGTAAAAATAAAGATGATTGTGCAGAGGGAAATGTAGGAACAAGTGACGGACTGCATGCCGGTACGCAGTACCGTACATGAAGAACATATCTGAAATGACGGCTCGATTGCTAAGGCAACACCATGTCGTGGTTGCCCACAAGCCAACCGCTACTTTGAGAAGAACACTGTCAAACGCAAAGGAGAAACGGGAAGGACATGAAAGAACAAACGTGGTGTACAAAATAAATTGCAATAACTGTAAAAAGAACTATGTAGGACAGGAAATTATCGACCAAGATAGAGAAACATCAAATGGCCTGCAGAAAGCATTACACATCGTCACTGATCTCAGCGCATGTGGACGAGGAGAGACATAGCTTTGACTGGAACAGAACGGAGATTCTTGCTCAAATGGAGACACAAAAGGAAGTTCCACGAAGGTTGGTTCTCCTCTAATAATGCCATCAACATGCGCATTAACATGGACTCTATATACAAACAACTCAGAAAGATCTTCAGCGATTTGAAAAGCAGGGCTCGAAACGTGATACACAGCGAACAACTGGAGCGATTGCCTTGGCCGCTGGGGGAAATGGGCAAACATCACGGGACACAAATCGAAGACGGCACTTTGAAAGGTCACCTGCCAATCGAGTACGAATGGACGATACAATCAGTGAGATTGCCCAACACGCATCACTGCACCGACGATGCCACCTCGCATGGTGGAAAGACATATGCGACTATGCAATCAAGCTTGACGAATCAATCAACAGCCGAACAGCCAACACTGGTTACCGGAGTTTCAAATTTTCCCAACGCTCAACCATTGTCAGTACAGTTAGTGGTCTGAGTGTTCGCTGAGCTCAACAGTTTGACTGCAAACGTTTCGTTCCTCACTGACACTTCGTACTGCGCAGCTTCGCTACATAAACGCGCACTGACGTTTGCAGCCAAACTGCCGAGCTCAGCGAACACTCAAACCACCAACTGAACAACCTGAGCTATCAACATTTGCTTCTACTGACAGTACACTCAAACTCACTCAGTTCGTCTACGCGCGTATCACGTATTCGATCAATCGAGAGCCCCAATTCATCCACCCGCTGTAGAAGACGACTTGATGAATCGCCGACGAATTGCCACAAAGGTGTTTGTTCATGCCATAACCGCTGTTCCATCATCTAAGACAAAAGGTGACGAAGTGGAAAGGATCTGAACAACCATATTCGAAGTGACCAATAAAGTGCACCGGAACATAGGAAGAAATATATGAACAAATACTAGGGTACAAGAAATAAGCGGGTCAACTCAGTCTCAGAAAAGTCAAAGTAAATCCCTCCCTGTGTGATGGAAGATCCGATGGAGTTGTTTATCCAGGACACCAGATAAATCGCAACAGAGAAATGGTGTAACTAGAACCATTTGAGAGAATTAAAAATCATCACTGTGGCAGGCAAATTGACAGTAAAAAAATGAAACGACTGATTGTCACAGTCGCTACCATGACGCAAACAACGAAGATATACCAAGAAGTGAGTAGCGGTGCAAAGATAAGACCCAGGACGAGACTACTGTGGCCACGAAGAGAGAATGTCATGTTTGGTCAAAAAGTCAAAGTTGAAACTCGTGCACCTCGACTAATCCATGCGGTTCGGAGGGGATGAACACTGTCCCAAAGTGTGGATCCGTCATGCGTACGGTGTGACTATAAAACGGACTGCGAGCTGTTTGTGTGTGCATGCGTGAACCTCATATGATACCGTGGGCAGGCAAATAAGGACTTAGAGATCCATCCCAGCTGCGCCATGCTCTTAAACTCGGTGGTAGACTATCACTAATGACGAAATACCCGTGTACACAGGTTTCATGTGAATTTAAATGAAGAAGGACAGTGAAGAAAAACGACAAAATTACAAGCCAACCCAGGAAACAAGTGAGCACAGAAATATCTCAGGATATGAGAAAAATCAGTGCGAATTAGTAGCGATGAGCGTTAGAAAGAAAACGCACAGAAGAGTTACCCGGGCGAGTTGAAGAGATGTAGAGGCAGTCTGGCTCCAACCTTGTCGCAACGATATTTCGAACAGGTAGCGAATCAGGCGCACGGCGTTTTGTTGAACATAATACATATCGGAAACAAGCGAGTGAGCGGCTGGAACATGACGACTGAGATAACCTTGAAGTAGGGCGTTCACCTTGGCAGGAACATCAGTGTCCACATTTCCCGCCTTTTGAATGGGCAAGCGACAAAGCGTACTCTTCAAGTTGTTTAACTCCGCACCTTCTTCGTCACGCACCTAACATGACAGAGACGAAAACTGATAGTGATGCTGATACTGAGAAAGTGCAGCGAGTAGAGATGCCTCTGTGTATCTGCATATAATATTTTTCAAGCAAATCCACCTATTATGTTGGTGATTATTTCCGATATCTCAAGTCGGCAAAGAGTGTGTCCAGGAGTTTCTTAAACTCCGACACCGACTTTGCTACGACTATCTCTGCAGGCAGGTTGTTAAAATTTTGTGGCGAAGCAATCATACTTCAGTCTACAAATTCGGTCAGCGATTCAATTCGATCAGAGATGTGAATAACACCAAGCTAGGTGAATCGGATAAGCGAATGAAAATTTGTACCAAAAGAGAGGCATGATGGACAAAGCGTTATGCTTAGAATCGGTGTAAACCACTGTAATTTAACAATCAGCCCAAAGGAGGCGGAGAGCGCCTGTCCTTTTGAAAAAAATAGATTACAAGCAAGCAGAAAAATATGGATAAATGGACAGCGAAAGAAATGGATAATGAAAAGAGTGTTCGAAAATGATTACCTTCATGGAGGAGAACTCGGAGGCCTCACTCAAAATGGAAAACAGTTGAGGAAGCAACATGGTGGATTCGAGCGAGTCTCTAACCATGGATGCTGTGGAATAGCGAATGTAAAACAGACTGGCTGTGCGCCCACGATCAGTGGCCGCTAGTTGTCCGGTTTTCGGCTCATAGCGAATCATTTCGGCTGCATCCAAAGCCATTGCACTCGCCCGGACAGCGCGCCCGAGAAAGTCACCGAAGGAAGGATCCGTCTGAGACAGAATAGTAGGCAAAGTGCTGGCTGTGGAAAAATGTGACAAACTAAGCCCACAAGTGTCGAAAGTGATCACACTAAAACGAACACAGGATAAGTAATTCCGAAGTAGTAGAAGAATCTAAAAAATAAGAGGAAATCGGTGCCGACTGCTAGGAAGACAAGCGAACTCTACGAATACACCCGCGGTAGCACAAAGTAAATGAAATCGGATAAACTGCGTATTAGCTGACGACCCCAAAGAACGGACGACGGATCACACATCGACCTGATTCGTGATTGGAGCCAATTCGAATCAGAGACCACTTACTCGATGAAGTATCGTCGGTTTAACACAACACAGTGAGAGTAAGTAACAAGGAACAAGTGTGTCGCTTTGCTCTCTTGCGGACTCTTCCCCACTAAGAAATCCGAATGGAGTAAGATAAGAAACCCCTGTCGTGTAGAAAAGTTGAATATGAAGTAAGACAGTAGTGTTGAAAAGTCCAGGCTTCCGAAGCAACAATGTCACAAAACGCATAAATCCTGAAGTAAAGGATAATAAAATAACCCTGATTCCAATGCTCTTGAGCAATGTGGTAGGAATGATGGCGGATATACTCAAAAAATCTGCAGTAGAACTCAGAATTGGGACTATCGGACAACTTCTCAGAAAACTGACAAAGATCGCAAACGGCAATTACCGCAGCGACATCACATGCAGCACAAAAACAGTGGTGCCCAGCAAAATAAAATTTCATTGAGGAGAACAGCTTGCAAACTAGTAGACCTGATGAATATAGAGTTTTATAGGGTTTCACCTTAAACAGTGAACAGTATATATATATATATATATATATATATATATATATATATTTGCCCCATGCTGAGGCTGATGTTGCATTCTTGATGCTTCTTCACCGCAGTTGGGCTAAACCAACTTACACTTAAACTAGGTCTTTTTAAGCTGGCTAAATTTCATTCCGCTTTAGTTGGTTTGTTCTGCCTCCCTGAATAATGTTCTATTAACTGGCCACGTTGCTTACACTAATTGCGCTTATCTTCGGTAATTTTGTTGCGTTTGTAGCATTTTAAGTAACTTGTGGACATTTTTTTACTTATCACGGGATTTGTTGCTAACCAAATTACTTCATATGGTAATTTAGCGAAGAGTTATGCCACCGTATCTGTATGCATTATTGGATTTATTTTATTTCAGCTTGTCGTTTAAAGTGAATGGTTGTTGTTTGATATCCCTGGTATGGTTGCGCTTGATGTGTATGTTGACAAGGTGCCTACCTGTCTATTACCCACTACATCGTTCATACTGGCTCCAGGAGACAGTTGGTCGTTGCTGGAGGGGACGGGGTGCACGGTTCTTGTGGCCGTGCTAGGCTCAAAGAGCGGTTCCATGCACTCAGTGTGGAGCGGACTACGGTCCAGCCACCGCCTTGTGTGCGGTTGATTCCCCAAAAACAGCGTGCTTGTGTTTGCCTGTGAAGGAGTGTGGGCCGGCTCCGTTGATGAAACGTGGTTCCCATCCGCATGCCTCCCGGTCTTATTCCTTCGGGTTTACACTGGATATGGGGTATGTGGTTGGAGCTGTGGGTGGTGCAGCGCAAGCCATCCATGGTCCCTCTGTAGGCGCTAGGCGTCCTGTGGCTTGCCACAGTGACAGGCAAATCCGAAACCGGATGCCGCCAACCATGTATGTATGTGTGCCCCATGCTGAGGCTGATGTTGCATTCTTGATGCTTCTTCACCGCAGTTGGGCTAAACCAACTTACACTTAAACTAGGTCATTTTAAGCTGGATAAATTTCATTCCGCTTTAGTTGGTTTGTTCTGCCTCCCTGAATAATGTTCTATTAACTGGGCCACGTTGTTTACACTAATTGCGCTTATCTTCGGTAATTTTGTTTGCGTTTGTAGCATTTTAAGTAACTTGTGGACATTTCTTACTTATCACGGATTTGTTGCTAACCAAATTACTTCATATGGTAATTTAGCGAAGAGTTATGCCACCGTATCTGTATGCATTATTGGATTTATTTTATTTCAGCTTGTCGTTTAAAGTGAATGGCTGTTGTTTGATATCCCTGGTATGGTTGCGCTTGATGTGTATGTTGACAAGGTGCCTACCTGTCTATTACCCACTACATCGTTCATACTGGCTCCACGAGACAGTTGGTCGTTGCTGGAGGGGACGGGGTGCACGGTTCTTGTGGCCGTGCAGGCTCAAAGAGCGGTTCCATGCACTCAGTGTGGAGCGGACTACGGTCCAGCCACCGCCTTGTGTGCGCTTGATTCCCCAAATACAGCGTGCTTGTGTTTGCCTGTGAAGGAGTGTGGACCGGCTCCATTGATGAAACGTGGCTCCCATCCGCATGCCTCCGGTCTTATTCCTTCGGGTTTACACCGGATCTGGGGTGTGTGGACGGAGCTGTGGGTGGTGCAGCGCAAGCCATCCATGGTCCCTCTGTAGGCGCAGGCGTCCCTGTGGCTTGCCACAGTGACAGGCAAATCCGAAACCGGATGCCGCCAACCATATATATATATATATATATATATATAAATATATATATGATCGGCGGCATCTGGTTCCAGATTTGCCTGTTACTGTGGCTATCAACAGGACACCTGCGCCTACAGAGGGACCATGGATGGCTTGCGCTGCACCACCCACAGCTCCATCCACACACCCCATGTCCAGTGTAAACCCGAAGGAATAAGACCGGGAGGTATGCGGATAAGAGCCACGTTTTTTCAACGGAGCCGGCTCACACTCCTTCACAGGCAAACCCAAGCACACTGTATTTGGGGAATCAAATACACACAAGGCGGTGGCTGGACCGTAGTCCGCTCCACACTGACTGCATGGAACCACTCTTTGATCCTAACACGGCCACAAGGACCGTGCACCCCGTCCCCTTCAGCAACGACAAACTGTCTCCTGCAACCAGTATGAACGAGGTAGTGGGTAATAGACAGGTAGGCACCTTGTCAACATGCACATCAAGCGCAGCCACACCGGGGATGTCAAACAACAGCCAATCACTTGAAACGACATTATAAATAAAATGTATCTGTTAAGGCATACTGTTATGTCGACATAACTCTTCGCTAAATTAGCATATGAAGTAAGTTGGTTAGCAACGAATCCGCGATAATTACAAATGTTCAGAAGTTACTCAAAATGCCACAAACGCGATAAAGTTAACGAAGATAACCACAATTAGCGTAAGCAACGTGGCCAGTTAATAGGAGATTATTCAGGTAGGCAGAACAAACCAAAGAAAGTGGAATGAAATTTATCCGGCTTAAAATGACCTAGTTTAAGTGTAAGTTGGTTTGTCACAACTGCGGTGAAGAAGCATCATGAATGCAACATCAGCCTCAGCATGGGGCTGGACAGTTTAGGCCCCAAGTAAGGTGGAAGTCTAGCTCGAACTGGAAACTCCGTCCGGTGGGGTAAAGCTTCACCGAACCAACCAATGGTCGGTCCAATTCCGGGAAAGCTGACTCGACCTTGGAATGTGATTCCGTTTAAAGCTATCTAACTGGATTGAACGAGATGCTTCTGATAGGTCACCGTCCCAGCGGAGAGTGGAAGTCGATTCACTGATACAAACCATGGGCATGATCCCACACTAGTATAGAGGCTGTTAAGAGAATTCAGATACAATTCGCCACCGGAGCCTCTCTGGAGAAGTGGATGTTATATTGAAAAGAGCTAGAGTTGTCGAACGAGGAAATCACCCCCACATGGAACCATTGCTTGTCAGAGGCGCCACATTTTTAAGACGACAGAAGAATTAGGGAGAGGAGGAGGAGGAATGTCAGCAAGGGGTTAAACCAGTCCTCAGGATGATTGTGTCATTGGCACAAGGTTGAACTTAAAACGAGCTAGCCTACCGAGAATTTAACCGAATTACGATGCAGCATAACAAAGCTACGTCATCCGATCGTTCGCGTGCAGGTTTAAATATCAGTGCGTTGACATTGCTGCGGTGGAAACCATCCAAAGTACTGAGTCAATTGGAGTGGCGAATTCCAACCAGAGCTGTATTAAAACAATCCACATGGATGAAAGCAGAGTCAACGGCTCACCAAAGTGAGCTTCTACACCAAACAAGCCAGATTCGTAAAGAAGGAGGCAACAACACACCCCAAATCAAAAAGCGAGAATAACATTAAGCGGAAGAACCACAGTGAGAATGACACTAACCTCCATCACTGCGGCCGGAATTCCGTAATGCAATGGGTTGCGCGTCATCCTTACGAAAAGATAAGTGTCCTTCAGCCAAGTCACAGCATCGTCAATACTGCTAACAGTGCCCAGTGCAATCTGGAACAAAGAGCCGCACAACGGAGTAATTAAGGACACATTCCAATCTCAAGACATGTAGTAAGTGAAGGGGAGACAATGGGACTGCATGAGGACTATCGACAGGGACGTCACGCCTTGATAAAGTCTGCAAGTGGATAAAGGCTATGACACGCATCCTGCGAAGACCGCATCAACGTAATAACTTTGCAAGGAGTAATCTACTAAACAATATGGTTATTCAGGATGGTTAAAAATGAGCCGAGAGTAGCTGAATGCGAAGGCAAAAGGCTTCTGAGCCCGGACTGAATTAAGTCATACAATAACAATAGTATGCATGCACAGCGTAACAAAGTGGTTGTCGGGTGGGCTTAGGGTAGTCAGTGTGCTGCATGTCACAGTGGTGAGCATCTGGTGCCGCCTGAGAGAAAAACTCCCAGACACAAGCAGTTGCGCAAAACAAACAAGGAAATATTAATGCTATTAAATTCATGAGCAATAAAACGATCAGTTGAAGCCATATTAGAGTAAACCTAAGGAAATAAGATTAATGTGAGGACAATAGGATGGTGAGAGATTTCAGAGTGTGGTCAACTCGAAGAAGGTAGCCAAGGAATTCCTTTCAAACTCTTCACATATATCAAGACGTTGCGATTAACAGTGGAAGAAAACAGGCATCGCAAATGTGGGAGTGGCAATCATTTATCGATTCTAATTCGTCAGTTTGTCATTCCAAACTTAAATTGATGGGCTTATAATTTTGCGCCAAGTTGTGTGTATGTGTGAAAGCAGACACTTGGCAGCTAATCAAAGAGCCAATGAGAAGCGCAGTCAGACCACAGATGCAGAAAAACGACAGTCCGGGGATTTCCGTTTGTTATGTGTGGATTTGGCGGACAAAAGATTAGAGCAACGGCATTTTCCCAATTTTGTTGGAGATCCGTCAGGGCCACACTCAGCCAGGGAGTCATTACACGCCCGGAGGAGGACTGTACGGTCGTTTCAGCAATTGTCAGCAGTGCGCATTCCACCTGTCCCCTATGGGGCTCGAATCCGCAACTCTAAGCTTATGAGTCCGTGGGTAGGACCATTTCTCAAGGCTTAATAGCGAAGTAGTTCGGTTCGGCGCATGACGTTAGGTACATGAGTTGACAAGATACACAATGGCAGTCGGCCCGTAGCCTTAATGATCACAACCCTGCTTTGTAATCCGAGGGCACGGGTTCGAGTCTGCGTACGGGACCGGGCGACCCTCGAGATATCCTTAGCTTGCGTGCGATTGTTGATGGTTGTGACAGATAACCGTCGATAATGCTAACCGGCGTACTGCTGATGCAATCGCAAAATGTGTGGGAACCACTGCCAAAGAATTGTCAATTTGGATGCCATGAAAAGTTAAACAAACGATGAATCATCTCTAAGGTCACTGCATGGTTTGAAAATTCATCACAAAGCATGAGTCTAAAACTAGTGCAATTATGTGATCAAAATGTCACGAACTCATCTTCAAAGTCCGGTGGATGGAAAGACACCAGTGAATAACGAGAATAATTGCAAAATGAAACGCCACTAGAGTGAACGGTGGCAGCTGCGATAATATCAAAGTGATGTCTCATTAGCATCATCATCATCATCATCATCATCATTAGACCCGTTAACTAGAGGAATAAAACACCTCAGCTACTGTGCCGCAATATATAAAAGAGAAAAAGAAAATACATGCAACAGTTGCATGCCAGCTAAGCTACCAGCACCGGATGGACAACGTTCCGATAAGCTACCAACCAGCTACTATGCATCAAAAGAATTTACTATGCAAAATTAGATTATGCTACGTACTGAGATCGTCGTTGGAGGAGAAGGCTAAGAGAGATGGGGAGGGGCAAAGAAACTCACAGCAGGAGCACCACTGAGGTCGGCTCCTAGCCATGTCAACAACGGTATCCAGCCAAACGTGTTCACCGTCGTTTGGACCTCAACCAGGGAGCCGTGACGCTAAAACCGAGGCTAGCTCCGAAGTGAGGGCCTTCATTCCTCTCGACCAAGTCATCGCTTGGCCACCTCTCCTCTTCTTCCATCCACATCCCCAATGAGCAAACAACGCACGTCGTGGAAGTCGGTGGGCTGGCATACGCAACACGTGGCCCAGCCAACGGAGCCTGGTGCGTGAAATAACGGTGCTGAGTGGTTCAGTTCCTTTTTCTGTGCCGTAAACAAGGCGTCCAACACGCTCGTTACTCACGCGGTGTTCTCACCAAATGTGAGCCAAACTGCGAAGGCACCGATGGTCGAACGTAGCTAGCCTCTTCATGTCCGCCGACCTTAGGGGCCAGGTTTCGCTACCGTACAGTAAGGTCGAACGTACCGCTGCATTGTACACTCTACCCTTCAGGGCGAGAGTAATGTCGCGTCGCCGCCATAGGTGGCGAAGGTTAGCAAAAGCACTCCGAGCTTTCGCTATACGGTTCGTGATCTCATCTTCGATCCAAAAGGCGCTGATACAACTTCCCAGGTAGTTGAAAGTCTGAGCGACTTCTAGCTGATCCCTATCTAAGATCAGCGCAGGTGGCGATCCATGCCAATCTTAGAGGAAAGATTTGCACTCTGATGGTGCAAAGCAAAGCCCGAAGCGGCTGACAGCCAGTGCTGACCTAACTAGTACAACTTGGCACGTCGGAAGCTGTCACAGATGAAGGCAATATCGTCTGCATACTCCAAGTCAAGAAGTCGATCTCCTGGGAGTAGCTCCACACCTTCCAAGTCATGTCCTGTAAGTGCAATCTCCATGCCTTCGTCAATAGCGAAGTTGAATAGGAAAGGTAACAACGGGCATCATTGTGTCACAGCGCTAGAGATATTGAAGAGCGGCGACAGCTTGCCGTAAACTCTCACTCTACCCGTGCTACGCGTGTAAAATGCTTGGATAATATTTACATATATCTCGGGCACACCTTTCCTGTGTAGACAGTACCAAAGGGCACATCGATCAACCGAATCGAATGCACCTTTGATATCGAGGAAAACGACAATGGTGGGCCGCCAATATGTGTGACGGTGTTACAACAATTGACACAAAGTGATGATGTAGTCGATGCAGCCATGACCCCGACGAAACCCGGCTTGCTCCTCACGAATCTGGCTTTCACGAGCGCCAGTCAGTCGCTGAAGAATTACAGAAGCAAGAATTTGGAGGCGATGGGGATCAGACACATTCCTCTATGGTTTCTGCACTCCAAACGCGAGCTTCCTTTGAAGATAGGAACAATTACGGAGCGGCTACAGTCGGTTGGGACAGTCTCCTGCTCCCACAGTTTCACTAGTAATTCGTGTAAATCATCAACAAAAACAGGGCCTCCGAATCTGAAGAGGGCTGGATGAAGATCATCTGGGCCCGCGGCTTTGTTAAACTTCAACAGTCCAATCTCACGTTTGACTTCTGAGCGAGGGTGAATCTAAAAAAACAGCCCATGGAGCAGGGCGATCAATGGCCAGTGAGGAATCCAACAATTCCGGCAGATTACATTGCTTTTCCAAATGCTCAGCCCAACACTCCAAACGTTTTGACAAATTGTGGACGGGCTGTCCACTCACTTCATAAATCGTTTCACTAACACCAGGTCTCCTGCTGCTCGTTTCCCGTATCAGACAGAATAACTTTCGATGGTTACCAAGGGCAGTGGCCATTTCCATTTCTGAAGCACGAAGAGAGCACCAGGATTCGCAGTCTCTCTTAAGGCTAGCATGGAGTTTTGCCCGGAGCTCTATGCGAGTTTCGTTGTGCTCGCTTCCAGCCGGGATATGCCGGCGATCATCGATAAGTTCCAGAGACTGCGAAGAGACCCAATGTTCATGGTGGCGATTAGACTTAGTACATGAGGATTTTCCTGCTGCTAGTAAGGTCTGGTGAAGAGGAGACCAGTGAACTACAATTGCATCCAGTGAGCGCTTACTCAACTCGCATGACAGCGTACTTTGATAGGCATTCAGAACAGCTGGCTTCGCCAGTTGACTGGTGTCAATGCGCTTACAACGTCGTCGTGGGCGTCCGCCAAAACGCATCCGCATGTCAGCACATACAAGTGCATGGTCGGTGTCCATACATGTCCTCCAAATCGATCGACAGTTCTGGACGCAGCCTCTCCATCGGTAAATTATCGCAATATGATCGATTTGCGCCCATAGCTGGTTCGAGGCTGGTGGGCGCCAAATCACCCTCCGGCGAGTGCTATATCCGAAATCAGTACTCGCAAGTAGTAAGCGAGCATCTTCACACAAATGAAGTAACCGCTCACCGTCATCATTACAGAAGCCTATGCCGTGTTGACCGCCCAGGTGTAGTTCATCAGTGGATGATTTTCCAACTTAAGCGTTCAGGTCCTCAGCCAGCACCACAGTTCCGAGCTTCTTCTGTAGCGAAGGAGCTCGTTTAATTGCCGATAGGAGTCGTCTTTTACCGAATCATCAACAGAGTTTGTGGGTGCATAGGCAGCGATGACAAATAGACACCTGTTAGTCCCGTGCGGCTTCGAAGCTTTGAACAAGCCAGCCAATCGGACCGCACACAACCGGCTACTAATTAGAATCCAATCAACCAGAGTAGCTTCAGCCCGGGGACTCAGGGCAATATCAACACCGGCTTGGCCGGTGCTCGAACCTACATCGTCACCAGATAAACGCAATGAGAAAGTGTTGCTGGTGTCACCTGAAGGGAATCGCAAAGTGAGCACTAAGCTCGAGTCTTACATACGGGTCTCCGATAAGCCGCAGATATCGATGGAGAGGGTCTCTAAGGTTCGGGCAAGCGCCGCCTGTTGACCGATCTGAAGCAATGTGCGTACAATGAGGCATGCTAATCTGAAGGATGATCGAAGGCTCCAACTGTAAGCCGATGAACTTGGCTTGACCGCTGGCCTGGACATGGGCTTGTCGACTGGGCAGAAATGACGCTTGGCATTTGCACGTGAGTCGAAACTAAAAGATAAAAGCCTATCAAAGCAAGGTGGAGGAGGGTCAAGAATTGGGGGTTGAAAACAGGGGGGATAAAAGTGAAGCTAGAACGGGACGATAAGGGTGAAAAAGCGTAAGAGGGGGATAAGAAGACTGTAAGCCTTGAGCAGTAGCATCCAACCCCCTATCCACCCTGCTCGATGCAACAGATAGAGCACCAGATCCTCAGGAAAATGTTTGAAGAAAAATTTATTGTATTACGTGGATGGGATACTGTCAAGTTGCCCAGGCCTCGACAGGATTAGGATTCGCAACCAAACTCTCTGGTCTAAAAACCTGACCGCAAGGCAGCCGGTTTGGCGTTAGGCTGCAAGGAGTCCGTGTTAAGCAATAATGAGCCATTTCATTCCAACTCCCAACCTGGAGGACCAAGAGGTTGAGTTTGTTTGGCCTCTAACCATTGACCAAGCTGGTACGAATGGCTCTGAAGGTGCAAAATAGCACCACCCAGCATAGGTCAATGGATCTCTGAGGCACGCAAACCACCGCACCACGGTAAGGTCTAGCCTCATTGCGATGTTTCACTAGTGACATTGTATGATTATTGATAGTACCGGAGAAACATGTAACGTAAGTTTGTAGTGATTATAGCCAGAGGAAAAATACAATGGCAACAAAGTGCTCAGCAGTGATCCAGCTAATGAGTGATCGCCAATAGCTGCTACATAAGCGTGACTCTCAGCGCAACAGAGATGCATAAAAAGCAAAAAAGTTGATCCAGTAGTTTAGCAAATTATGGGGCTCAAGGAAATACGCGTCGATACCTAAGAATAAGCAAACGCAAGCACGTATTAGGAGGCTTCAATCCGGGTGAGCTCAAACCGAACTACGCGAAATGAGTGAGTAATGATTCGCGAGTTGAAGCATATGGGTTGATAATTTAGCTGGGGAATTGCACAATACTCTCATGAAGTTACGTTGAAATTATATGATTTGAAACAACTGAGCCAAGAAAAGGCTGTCGGGAAGTAAAAGCATCCGGGTTGTCATTAAACATGAGGGAATAGCGAAGGCTGTATTCAAGAGTAGTCAACACACTAGTTCATAAAGAAGGTTTCGTTGCCGTTTCGGCTGAACGGGGTGTGTAAAATTATGAAAAACAACCAGAATAAAACAGGAGAACCAAATAAAAAGGTTACTTCTATTATGAACAATAAAATAAAGCACATGCTGTGTGAAAAGGCGTGATGTCACAGTGTAACAGTTGATGAGGTCTACCTCGGACTAAGCAAGACGCATTCAGGCGGCGACTGTCCATACTTCCCGTAATCTCCAAGTGGGAGTAGGAACTGCAAATGCAAGTTTAATGATGTAAATATTAAACCCCGAAGCTATAAGGAGTGCTTCCTAGATCTTCCGAAAGTGGGGAAGAAATGGCGTCCTCGATACCATCACCATCAGTGCGAGCAAGTCTGAGAGATCTATGCGCGTATTACCAAGATATTAGATGATACGTTAGGTAGTGCGGCAGCTCAGTGGTCCCGATCCATTACACAAATGCATCGGAATTAGGGGTGATTGACTTCCGAGTGTCCGTCGGTTTGTTAATCGGATGTCAATAGAGCACAAAACGATCGAGTAGACAACAGGATGTCAGGATGGCTTCGAAGTCACACTCACTTGTAGAACATCCAAAATGTCTAAATCAGCGAAGTCCGACTTATCCGCTTTGTACACACGAGTTCCCTTGATGACGACAGCGTGTGCGGGCAAATTGACACCCCAAGCAAGGGTAGCGGTGCATACTAACACCCGGATATGGCCTTCGGAAAAGAGGCGCTCGACCAATGAACGATCACATCGCAGCATGCCGGCATGGTGACATGCGAATCCGTCCGGAAGCAATTCGCGGAGGGCGGTATCGCTCGATCGCTCGATCTGAGAAGTGGGAACATGAGAATTGAAAAGTGACGGTCGAGTAAGTAAAAAACGCATCAAACGATGACCGAGTAGTGAACATACACTCAATAGTCACGAACCAGCATGGTAGCAAGCAAGGAGGGTGTCGATGTGTGAAGGACTATATCAAAATACGAAAAAGTAGCAAAGAATTATAAATTCTGTAGTTCATAAGCCCAATTGGTAGAGTGCAGACATAGAAAATGGACAATGATCCACAAAACAGTGGATAAAAGATTGGAAGAAAGGATGTTACGACAAAGGCAAACCGTACCAGAAAATATCCTCAAGAAGCGATGGTGCCGCTATGAAAATGCGACAGAGGAACAAGATATCGGATGTGTGCCAACCCTCACATGACAAAGTTCAGTGCTTTAACTTAGTCGGTAAAACAGTAGGGAACACAGTAGAGCGTTACATTGCTACAGGATACTAATGTCCGAACGGTTCAGGCTTGTTCTCCACACGTCGCCGGTCGGAATCGCCATAAATGCGGGCGATCTTGCCTGCATGAAACTGCTGATGGTACAACGTACTGGAGTACTTCTGATGTGTTTCTTTCTCAAAGGTGACACAGACTGGTCACACAAACACCGCAGCTGATGTGCATCGTCGGTTCAGTCGAATTGCACTATCGAATGTTCGTTGTCGCACACCGGGTGCCTAGTACTGCGAGATGTGCCAAATATGGTTGAGCGATATGCGACTTTCAGTCACATGCCTACTTATCCGGTGCTGTCAGTTCGATTCTAGGCGTCTACGAATCACGGTTGGGGAAGAACGAATGTAGGATAGTGGTAATAGCGTCAGGCCCAGAGAAGGGGCCTAGCCTCGTCCCACCCCACGTACGAACTATACGCATATTTCCACAAATCTTGCACCAAGATAGCTACGCCTCCCGTCTGCACGCCTTTCAATCCTATTACTTTAGGCTATACCGGATATGAGGCGTGCTGATGAACCTGTGGGTCGTACGATAAACGGTCTATTAGTAGGCGGAAGCGCCCGGTTACCGTTAAATATCGTAGAGGCGGAAAAGCTGGAGAAGAAAAATGCCTGCTGCCAAGGTATCAATAGCGTTGAATGGCGAATTTTTAAGTTCCATATCCCTTGTTGAAAACACCGCGCCAATCGGAAAGACCTGGAAACTCGCACCTGCGAGTTCAGATCATGACAAGATGATAATTCGTGTGCTGAAAGGCTTGGTCGCTAAAGTTTTTGAAACATCTGAGTGACTATGAAACGCTACAAAGTGGTATTGATTTCAAAAGAGATAAAGTTGGCATTTGTAGAGGAAACCAGCAAAATGGAGTGTTAGGGAGTTCAAGAAAATTGGAGCACGGGTGGTACCACAGAGTATAAGGAGATTCATGACCAGTGTTATTATACATTAATATAAGCGAGACCGGCTAGGGTCTGTAATGAACCCATTAAATAATATCCCTAAACTAGATGCGAGTTAAATAGCTACCTAACTGTTGCGAAACGAATATATCACTTAGGGGCTACAATGCGCCAAAGGACGACCACCAGTATACACCACGACGTGGATATCAGGCTAGGAGACGCCTTTACGCAGTCCAGATGACTTCGACACTGTAGTCGACATCCGTGTAAAAAAACTCTGCAGGTGTAACATTTTGATCTAAGAAAGAGCAACACGTAAGATCCTGGTGCTATGGATACAAAGAACTAGAATCTAAGACAAATCAACCAAGGATATTGGTTGAATCCATCTAGGGATGCAATTGTTAAGGTTGGAAGACTTGTGAGTCTGAGTTCTGCAGGTTGGCGGCAACATAAGCAACCCATGGGAAGAAGTGGAAAAGAGGATCCATGTGCGTTGTCTACGAGTGACTTCTTGAAAGGAAGATAACCGAGTATAACTCACTCGCTTGATAAAGGAACCACGATCGATGCTTTTTGACACCTCAAAGTGGCCCATCTGTTGCTGCTGCCGAGCTGTATCACGGAGCCATCGACATGTTTTGAACGTGTCGCCGCGTGCATGCACGAACACCATAACCTGCGTGACAGAACGAAGCATAACGGGGAACAATACAAACTCATCTGTTAATTTTGTTGTTTATGATCGACTGGTATGGGTATGTCTGCAAGCGCTCACCTGTTCGCCACGCTTCACCTGATCCATCACCAATTCATAACAGGCGGTGTTCATGTTGAGCTCCTGAGCCCTACGATTCATACCCCGTACCCCGATGAAAGACAAGCTCAAAGGTACGGGTCGAAATCGTTCGTCAAAGTAGAATAGACCTCGATAGGGGTTGACGTGAAGAAAGTGGGCCACATCCTCGTAATTAGGCAATGTTGCAGACAGACCGACGAGCCGAATCATCGTTTGGGACGTCTCAACCTGAAGGGAAAGAAGGAATTTGGGAGCTGCAGAATAGGCAAGCGCACCTGACGCAAAGTGCGGGCCACCAGCACTTCAAGAACAGCTCCGCGATCCTCGTGGAGTAAGTGAATTTCATCCAGGATGAAAAGTTTGACTAATTTGACTAGAGTGGCGTCTCCAGAACCCTTGCGTGAGATGACATCCCATTTCTCCGGGGTGCTGATAAGCATCTGTGAAGCAATTACAAGAGAAAGTCAATAAGAGGCTAACAGTAATCCCATAGTATTGAGGAAGACGGGTGTGAGCATTTAGTGAGGTGGGGATGGGGCCACTCACTTGTGTTTGCAGAATTTCTTGCTTAGTCAAATGGGTATCCATGGTGCATTCGCGAACCTTTACTCCGAGAGGGGCAAGGCGTTTTGAGAACGTGGCAGCTAGCTCAGCAGCCAGGGCCTTCATTGGGGCCAGATAGACAATCTGGTAAACAGAGCGAAACAGGTGCCATTGAAAGCAAGCGAAATTTCCAGGCGTAAGCTGACTAAAGGCGGTGGCTGCGACAGAAGACGGTAGGGACGATTGGGTGACACACAAAGAAGCTGATTATGAATGTGCGGACGATGTCCGGAAAAAACTGTTTCCAAGTTGCTTGAAACCGACAAGGCTGGTGGCTGGTGGTGGTGCGTGAGCAACGACAAAAGCACTAAGTAGCTAGCGTGTGATGGACGAAAATAATGCTTGAAATAGAAGTTCTCAGAATCAAAATCAACTACATGGCCGTCTGTCTCAATGCTATAATGGTTCATTTACAATAAACATAGTATAAATAAATAAATAAATCTTTTATTCTCAACAAAGTGAGGCACGCCTTCACAGGCATGAGCATTTTGACATAACGATGCAACATCAAGCATGTGCAAAAATCCGATATGTTTGCCATAGCAGTTTGTGTTTGTGTAGGGGGTATGTATGTATGTCATTGTGTGTGTATGTGTATGTAGCTGTTTATTTTGTGCTTGTAGTTGTGCTGCTCCGATCTTCAATGTTTGATATCGCCATCAATATGCGAGTAGGAGATTGGTGTCCGTGGGTTGGATAGAATTATCCGGATATCCACGGGGCAGTGACTTTATTTTGTGGCGAGTCACGACCGCCACGTCACAGTGTTGTTAAGCAGACATTTGTGGCTTTTTATAGGGAGAACGCTTGCCAGGCGAAACCCACCACGTCCTGGAACACTGCCGCCGAACTATTTGCTGGAACGGGTTAAATCCGAACCACCCAGCTGACACCACGAGGAGGTTGTTCGGCTAGCCAGACTACTGATAGGAACATATGGTCAAGAGGGTCTGATTCAATCCATTGTCACGGTAGTTAACCTGATGATACACTTAGGCATATGATGACCACGCAAAAGCTAAGTGGAACGCATTCATGATGGTAAAGTTCAAGTCAAGCCAGGTCGAAGTAGGCTTTATGCACCCGGGTAGGTCCATATACAGCATGAAACACTATCAATGCGAATGGTAAAGTATGTGAAATCGTTGTTAAAAAATACAATAAAACGTCTAAAAATGTCTACACGTAGCATTCGAGCAAATAATTTCGCCCCATACTGATATTTTTGGTCTGGTCAACAAGCAAGCGGAAGGCACAGTAGAAAAGAATTGTGGTAGGATGCAGTACGAGAAAATAGGACCTTAAATTCGAAAAGGGTAGAGGAAATAGATAGTGTTTTTGATAGGTCACAATGTAGTGAACAAAGAGTCATTTAGAATTTTGAAGGAAAGATCGGTGCAAGCGTCTAGTTGCTTGTTAACAATAAAATCAACTGGATCTGGAAATAAGCTCTATGAGTCGCACAATCAATGTGTAGTCTTTTGTGAGTAACCTAAGGCACATTACAAAAAAACAGTTGTTAATTGCCAGGTCCAACTTGTTAGTGGGCCTCAGATGGCTGCAAGGAGATAGGATCCATTCATGTGAAGCTATCACCAAACGAAGAGCGTTCCACTGCGTTTTCGGAGCGCATGAATTGGATGAATTGGATGCATGTGTCACTAGCATCACCACTGAAATGTCACAAAAGTGAACAGTTGTATCAACAACCCGTCTGTTGCAAATTAACTGTATGTGTTGAAAGTGATTAGGGTCGCAATGCGAGCACTCACTTTGAAAGCTTTCAGATCTAATACTGAGTCTGCAGTCATGTGAGCGCGCAGCAATTGAACGACGGTGAGGAGGGCCACATTCGTCTTTCCGGCCCCGGTAGGTGCGCACACCAGGAGGTTCTCGGACGTGTGGTATGCGACTGGATAGATCACTGATTGGATGAGGTTCAGTTCGTGCATGCCTTCAAAGACTTGTTGGCCGATCTGGATGAAAGAGATCAATCGAGGATTAAAAACTGACTCAGAAGTGTAAGAATACAGGTTGATGAAGACAAATGGGTCCGCCCATTGTCATTATAACATTCACACATGCAGGAGATGGAAGAGAGAGAGGGGGAATGCATAAGTCAATCTAATGCACGAAAACATGTCAGAGCAAGCTCAAGTCGTGTGACCGCCCAACTATGATAGACGCAACAGATGATCGTCTTTTAGACGAAAAATATTTATGCATCTCAACAGTACCCGGATGTCACGAAGCAGTTGAGGTTATAGGAAATCTTTGGAAGTCGGACGGTGCCGACGAAAAGTTGACGAATCTCGTGTGTGGAATACAGGATGGCCAGAGTATGGTACAATACGAACCATGGGACTTTCATGTACGAAAACAGTCCGAGCAAAGACAAAATGCTTGAACTGCACGAAATTTCAGGGTCAAGTGTACAATATGTTATCTGTCGACGTATGGTCATTTATCGAAACAAGAACTGACTACCGATGATCACGCACTGTAGATAAATAAGAAATTTACTTATTTATGAAAGTCGAAGATAATTGGGGATCTGAAGAAGGAAGATCGCTGATAAATGTACGATCGGAGGTTCTAAATGACGATAAGTGTCTACCGATGTATAACGTGTTGCCATTGCCACATGAACGTTTCATCAATCCAGTTGTTCCGTTGCAGCTATGCACAAATGGAGTGCCAATTTGTTTAAAAAGCAAAGCGCTCTGATGTACCGACTGCACATAGCACATTAGGGTCGCCTGTCGCCAACTTCCCTGATACCAATACCTGAACATCTTTCCTCGCAAATGCCGGTGTGTTGAAGAGAAATAAGCCCCAATCGGTAAAGCAAGCATTATAAGGTTATTATATAAGTTTGTGACACCGGATCTGACACATGAATGAAAACCTTAACGAGCGAGAGCATAACCGTGAGCTGTACTATAGCTAAGCACAAGAAGGATGCATAAAAAGAGAATGTGATAGCCAATAAATTACTTGAATGGTGTTCAGGGAATATTTGAATAGGTCTGATTATGAGTTACGCCAACGAAACGAAATGGTGGGCATATATCAATGGGTCGCCCAAAAGCAACGAAAGCAACGTGAAAAATCATGTCGGTGAACAGTATCTTGCAGCAACGCAGCTGCTGGAGGTGACGCCAACCCAAGTTCGTCCGATACTCAGTTGTGACTGGCCAAGTCATCACTTAACTAAAAGTACTATGAAGTGAAGTGGATCAAATTCGGAAACGCAATAACAAGTGCCCTGCAGGTTTCAACGTACCGGATCCAAGGATGAAATTTTGACACGCGGACAAGCTAGGACATCTGTCGGAGGTTTCGATGGGGTAGGGAACTGGACGTGATCCCACGAGGGGAGTTGCTTATAATCGGTTCCTATGGGGAGGCGAAGCTGTCACAAAGGAGAAAGATAACAGTGCATGGGAAAATATCGACGAAGGGAGAGCACAAAAAGCACGGTGAACAAACAGATAGAGAAGTACTGTGTCCTAAGCGGCAGGATCGTACACGAAGGCACAGAAATCGGGCTCACAAGGAAACACATGATGGGTGCACGTAAAAAACGTTCTCTGTCGGATCATCAATGTCAGTCAAACATTCGACTCCCAGACTAGTTCGACTGAACAGTGCAGACAAGCACAAGAGGTCGGAGTGAGCAACATCGGACGTTTAGGTGCATCAGGTACAGTCTTCCAGTGACCGAACTAACCAAAGTAGCAGCTTTGGAGCAAATCGTGTTCCAAATAGGGGTGGCGTGTCACGATCCGTGTACACAGGATGAGCACTCCAAAAGACAAAAGCCGATGAGAGAAAGCGTTAAGTGTTAGATCCAAAGGCTACGCGTGTGCGTTATTGTCGTAAGGAACGTACTGAGTGTGAAAAAAGTTCGTTACCATAAAAGTGTCCTAGTTTTGTAAATCTCGATTGAAGTGTGCAAACTTTCGAAATGCTGTGTCCGTGGTGCCTGGTTTGTGCTACTACACTTTGAACCTTTGAAATTTATCGTAAAATATTGGGTCTAAAGCATGATTTCAGAACAGCATATTTCAAGATGGTGAATGTCCAGATCAGTATTAATTTATTAATTACTCCAACCCGCGTGCGAGTAAATCTACGAAATATGGTCTTGTTTGTCTTCTGGTTTGAGGGTGGAGTTGTGTACAACGTTCATAATACATTATTTCGTGTTCCGAGATATTAGTCCTATTCCGAGAGCGATGAATATCGTGCACGAGTGTCTGTATAACGAGATATTCGATATCGTTAAAGTTCTCGCTGTATATCCCAGCTCACTGATCAACATGGAAGAACGATCGCACTGTTCTGTGTACCAAGGATATGAAAAAAGTATTTTGAACCGACCCCTCTTCGGAGGCGAGTCGGCATCCACATCTCCGATTGCAAAAGCTTTAAGCTAGACCGCTAGGAATTGAACTAACGGAAGACAAGTCCCAGCCAAGAACACTAACGGTGTCCATACTTAGCAACACATGTCCACAGGAGTTCGCTTCCTATGGAATGTTGTCAAGGGAATACAATAAATAGAGGTGCAGAGCAGATGCCACGATCTAGAGTAAGGTCAAAGAGATTGATCCTAAGAAGAATGCCATGCAAAATGAACGGAACGAAAATTGGAAGACGCCAACGATAAAACTGTGCTATGTCCACGAATATATGCACCAGAGTGAGTAGCTGGAAGGACTGGCGATGAAATGAGTAGTAAAAACCAAAGAAAAATCGTTATCGATCAAGGCGAAAAGCGCTGTGATTTCATAATACTGAGGAAATAACCGGTAAGTAGCTGCTACAGACCACCAAGTATTAACCACTAATGACACAAGTTGAATTTATCCAGGCTAGACTCAGTCAGACAGCCATCTTAGGTTCGGAAAAACACTGTACGGTCGTTTCATACACCCAGGAATCGTCAGCAGTGCGCGTTCCATTTGGTTCTTGTCGGACTAGAACCTGCGGTCATACTCTTACGGACCCATTGTAAAGACCACAGAGTCCATTAACTCGTGCGATCTAAACCTTTCTATCACTCGCTTGTAATGAGAATGCAGTAGTATAGGCACCAGTCTATTAAATAGACATAGAGTCAAACACAACCATGGAAGTCACTAAAAGGCAGGTTTAACATCGTATCATCATCATGGCACATTAACTGAAGGTGAGCAAGACACTTCAGCTTTTGTGCCACAACAAAAGACAAAAACGGAGCACTTTTTGTTATCTTGCACGTGCCATTTTTTATTTTATTTGTCGCTTTCAATCATCAAGCATTAAGCATCGATCCATTACGAGCCATAGCCTGAATTTTTTACAGCCACTGGCACTCCTTGCCCTTTGGTAGGCGTAGGGAGCCGATGGTGGTAAGACGTGAAGTCAACAGTTTTAGTTGCTGTCGTCAGGTGGACGGTATAACTCCGTGTGGTCTCTTTCAGTTGAATCCTGCAAAAACAAACAGAGCGTGATAGGGCAAGCGCTCAGCTGACATACGCAGGACGTGATCGAGCCATCTCAACCGGCGTAACAAAACCAGCTTGCTGAAGGAAATACTCGCATTCCCTAAGACCCAACGTCTGACTTCATCGTTGCAGATTTGTTGTTGCCACCACAAACGAGCAATCCTCCTCAAGCACCTGCTGTCGAAGGCCGAGAGCCGGTGCATATCGTCCACGCGAACTAGCCATGATTGGCGGCATCCGTTTCTGGATTTGTCTATCACTGCGGCCTTCATACAGGACGCCTGCGCCTACAGAGGGACCATGGGTGGCTTGCGCTGCACCACCCACAGTTCCATCCACACACCTCATATCCCGTGGAAACACGAAGGAATAAGACCGGGAGGCATGCGAATGGGAGCCACGTTTCATCAACGGAGACGGCCCACACTCCTTCGCAGACAAACACGAGCACGCTGTATTTGGGGAATCAAGTGCACATAAGACAGTGGCTGGACCGTAGTCCGCTCCACACTGAGTGCATAGAACTGCTCTTCCAGGCTAGCACGGCCACAAGGACCGTGCACCCCGTCCCCTCTAGCAACGACCAACTGTCTCCTGGAGCCAGCATCGACGATGTGGTGGGTAGTAGACAGGTAGGCACCTTGTCAAGGTGCACATCAAGCGCAGCCACACCGGGGATATCAAAAAACAGCCAATCAGTTGAAATAACATTATCAAATAAAATATATCTGTTAAAGCATAAGGTTATGCAGACATTACTATTCAGAGAAAATTACTACCATTAATACACATATGGAATTATTCTGATATAACTGATTATCAATCGGGATACACTCCACGCCGGCGATCTTTCAGAGAATTATAGACAACTTAGTGAAAGGCATACTCGGTGTTTGCGCTTACTTGGACGACATTTTTGTTACTGGTCGTAGCGACTGAACTTATGACAGCAATTGCAACAGTCTTGAAACGCCCTCAGGAAAACGGACTGAAAGTCAAGGAATCTAAATATAGTTTCTTTTGTGATACAGTTGAGCATCTGGGAGTTCGTTTGGACAAACACGGGGTATATCCTCTACGGGAAAAAATTCAACCCATTCTGGATTCTCCAACACCCCGAGATAGTAACGAACCGTAATCATTTCTTGGTATGATAACCTATTACAGACGTTTCTTACGCAATCTGGCTAGTCTTCTCGCACCATGATATACTTTACTTCGTAAGAATACCAGGTAGCTGTGGTCCAACGAACAACAAAATGCTTACGATGCTGTCAGATTAGTTATTAGTAAGGCTAACTTGTTAGTGCATTTTGAGCCAAAAAGCCGATAACTCTTCGTTGCTATGCGTCACCCACAGGGTTCGGGGCCGTACTGTCACACCAAATGGAAGACATGACCGAGCGACCAATAGCTTTTGCGTCCAGAAGTTTGGCACCAGCGGAAAAGAACTATGCGCAGCTCGACAGGGAAGCTTTAGCGGTTATCTTTGGAGTTAAGAAATTCCACCAATATCTGTGGGGAAGAGAATTTGAAATCTTTACTGACCACAAGCCTCTGTTAATCCTTATTGGTGAGAAAAAAGGCATAAACCGGATGGCGTCACATCGTATGCAACGCTGGGCTTTATTGCTCTCCACTTACAATTACAAGATCGCCTATGTCCCTGGGAAAGCAAATAGAATCGCGGACGCTCTGAGCCGTTTACCGTTGAATCACCTACCAGATTGTGTACTTAAACCTGTGGAGCTTGTCCATCTGCTGCAACATTTGGACGAAAATCCGGTGTCAAATGCAGATATCCGTCAGGAAACTGAACGGGATACATTACTGACCAAAGTCAAGCGACTAGTCTCTCAAGGTTGGTCTGACAGATGTGAACCGCAACTACTGCCCTACTTTATGCGACGCACAGAGCTCAGTCTGAAGGATGGGTGTTTGCTATGGGGACCCACCAGGGCGACCATACCACCATGGTGGCGACAGAATGTCTTACAAGAATTTCACGAAACGAACCCAGGAAGCAGAAGAATGAAAGCAGTTGCGCGATCTTATGTGTGGTGGCCTAATATTGACAGAGATATCGAAGAGTTTATCCGACACTGCGACATGTGTCAAAGCACTCAGAAGAATGCCCCTCCTGTACCAGTTAGTCCTTGGAAATGGCCCAGTAGACCGTGCGAACCCATACACGCAGACTTCTTTGACCCGTTGGATGGAAAAATGCTTCTCCTCTTGATTGCTGCTTACTCGAAATGGATAGAAGTTTTTCCACTTGCACATGCCACCTCTGAGACGACCATTTCTTGCATGCCGACGTGTGTCAGTATCTTCGGTATACTACATACGCTGGTGCCAGACAACGGTTCCGTATTTACTAGTCAAGAATTTCAAGAGTTCCTCAAAAGCAACGGCATACATTATGTGAAAGCAGCCCCACTACCATCCAGCTTCAAACGGTTTGGCTAAGAGCCGTCCAGACAGTCAAGAACGGGTCACGGAAACAACCCTTTGGTCCACTGCGAACAAAATTGGACAAATTTCTTTTTGGCTACCGCACCACGCCAAACGAAACTACTGGAAAGAGCCCAGGCGAGTTGTTGTTCGGACGGAGGTTGATGACACGGCTGGATCTCCTGTTTCCTAACCAGAGGCTAGGTGTCGAGGCTAAACAAGATAAATCTAAGGCAGAGTACGACCAGAAGGCTTCCGATAGAAGATTCTGCGAGAATGAACCGGTCTACGTCAAGCTGCCCGACGAAACGACCTGGAAGCCTAGAGAGTTGCGCGAAGTTGGGGGACAACATACGGAGGTGGCGGATAACGATCCGTCGTCGTCGCTTGATTAACCGTCAGTTTATAGTAGCCGCAAATGCGAACTGAGCTATCAGGCTTCTGTACAGGAACGATGGGTGCAGCTCAGAAAGAGCGGCGTACGGGTGAAATTATTCCATCATTTTATAATCGCTCTAGCTATAACTCTACCCTCGGACGGATTGTGAAAGGTAGACTCCTTGCCCTGTAAAATTTCGGTTGAGTCTGTGGCTTGATACTCAAGCAAGCTTTGAAATCACGTAATTACCCAAATATGCTTGTATCGAAAACACTGGCAAAGCTTTTCAAGAGTGTAGGTAAGTCAGAAATACTGTCCACCTTGACAGATGGTAATACTTCCGGCAGATACTTCAACCAGTTCTTTTCAAGTAGATTAGGTCCGCCTGTGTTGAAAACGATTAGAAGAAGAGTCAAGGTATTGTTCACAAGATTTACTTTCACGTCACACACCCAAAACATCGAGTATTTCCCCAGTGTATGGTCGTGATTTGGATTGAGTCGGAGTCAGAACCAGGTCGGGCAAAGTTCGGTTGTTGATCAATGTAACCGAGGCCATGACTCGCTTCCACATAGCAACACCGGCCGAACGGTGATATTGTAATCAGGACCCTTTACCAAGAGGGGGACATCCCGACGACGCCCCAGGTTCTGCAAATTGACGAATGCCGACCGAGCTTTGGTGATGAGAAGAGACACTTCCGTTCTAATGGTACCACGAGCAGACACACAGCTGCTCAGGTAGGCAAAGCTACCCACATGTTCAAGCAGCGTACCTTCAATAGTGAGCACGGGAGCGGTTGAGTACCAATTCTGAAACAGCACTTAATGGAGAATGCAGTGCAGACTGCGTGTAACGCCACAAGTCAAATGGCGTCTTGAGTTTGGGAAGTTGTGGCTCGGAGGGCTGCCTTGTATTCCGCAGGGTAGAAATATGAAGTCGGTGAAGAGTTGGCGGCGCTACACCACATCTAATAACTTAATCATTTAGGTGATTACTGTCTCCCGGGGTTTAGTGATCACTTAACCATAGACTCGTAGGAACAGGGTCAACTATGCATGAGAATTCATGAAGAAAAATGATGAAGACGTAGTGAAGTGAAAGAACGACAGAACAAGGCTATGGTTAAGCAGTTGTACCCTAAGCCAGTAGGCAATTGTAAACAGTAATAAATAAAAGCATACCTTAGTGCTATCGAAAAATGCCGATGTGTCCCGTAACTCCGCGGCCAGATCGAACACAAATGGAAGGGAGCGTCTGAAATCTGCTGCTTTGGTTGAAGCCGAAGGGCCGTTTTGCATCGCGGCTTGAAGGCGAGCGAAGGTGGCTAGTTCATTTGCTTTCAACTGCGCATTGCGAGCGCAAGCTACGCTAGCGGGGCTCTTGAGCAGGGATTCGACTAGCTGGTTCTTTGTAGATGTGTCAACGGATGTCTATGATCGTATGTGGATGAACAGCGGAAATGTAAAAGGGGAAATATCATGATAACAAAAGGAACAATGCAATAAGTTCACACAGTGGCAACTTCACGCCGTCCGTAAATCAAGCAAGTACGCAAAAAATTGCCTAATCTGTTGTATTTTGCTAATCTCTTTGTTGTGTATACAGAAACGGAGTCTAGAATTACGCACTAAATATCTGTAATCTTTCCACATGGACTAGCGTTCGGCAGTAAAGCCCGCGGCACCAAGTTGTCATGTCCTCGAAGCAGAAGTGACTCAGTAAAAAACAAGTGTATGGATATTGTGTTACAAGTAACAGCGGTTTAAGTCTTAAAGCGAGGCAGCATGCAAGTGCAAGCGAGACGACAGCCAATCAGAAGCAAGCACGTATTTGTCCAGTGGCCGCTAAGTGAGCGTGCAATGAAGCATGACGACGAATCACTGGTGAAGACAATTCTAATTGCCAGTGAATGCATAATGTGGCAACACCAAAGGAAGCCAACATTTTCGCCAGTACCTAGATCCAGCTGATAGCATTGCGGTTAATGCAAACTGGAACACTGGCAACAAGATCAATTCGCCCCAGTTAGCTAGGGCAACCTCCGCCTCTCTCCATAACCGTTCTAACGCGTACGCCAATCTTTGTAGAGAACATCATCATCCTTAAGTAGTGAGGATCTGGCAAAATCCTGACGGGTGGTGCGAAGGCAGTTGTGAAATGTGATCACGTTTCGTTCCAGGACGAATCGGTAAATGAAGAAATCGTGCTTCTACCCGTCGTACCTAAGCGAAAAGTGGCACAAAGGCAAGAGGCTAACCGAAGAGCCGCTGAAAAGGATGCAAGAATAAGGAATGAGACGATTCTTTTGTTGCGAACTAGGCTGTTAGTGCCGTCACAAACTGCTCCATATACAAATGCTAGAACCGGTTGCACGAATTAGTAGTAAAACTCTGTCGAAGTGAATCTCCACTACTGCATCCAAGCCTTCTAAGTGCAAGTTTTCTCGTCTGCTCGCAGTCCGCGTTGTAGTTCCCAGCTGACAGCCGACTGTCAAAATGTGCTCAGTGACAGTCTGAACGCTTGCACCAGATTCCAGCAGGCTTAATGACGTGCCGGATATCCAATAAGCAGTGCGCGGGCGCCCAATAGCGTCTAAAGCGGAAGCTCCGCGTGGCAGCAAAAAACTCTTCACTGAAACACGACATCCAAAGAGCAACTCGACGAAGGGTACATAAGCAGGAAACCATGTAAGGTTTGTTTAAACATCTGACGGTGTGATCGCTTGGCTAGCTATCAAGGTAATCAGAGGCCGCGAGTTCTGGTAAAAGTCAGAAGAAATCGAATGTCAGTTACAGTATGGTAGGAATCGATAGAAATGTTCCGCATTGACCAGAAGTCAGGGATGGGACTACGCCGGCTAAATGTTATAGTGATATGGTCTATGTGAGTTTTTGGCTGGCCGGGTTCAGATGATAACTTTGCGGCTAGTATAAACTGCAGCACTGTCAATAAGACCAATTCGCCACAACTAGCTACGACAATCTTCTCCTGCCTCCATAATGGTGTGGAAATTCGGCGCCCACGGTGTCAGAGGACGGTGCTGCAAGGGAACAGTGAATAAATAATGGAGCTGTTGCAATACCGCTCACAACTGTCTATACATTCGGAAACAAGCCCGAATGTCCCAAGTAAATAAAGTTTTAAATAGCTTAGACGACTTGTGTGAGTATTCACATCTCTATGCAATCAATGTAATAGCAGAGCATGCTAAGTTCGCGGTAGGTGTCCTTGTTCTATCAGAACTGCAAACGTCCAAAGCTCCAGAGCAACCATAAATAAAAATCACCCAGTGACGCCCCGTGCAAGTGTTGTAAAACCGGCTGTAGACAGAGAGTTGTTCACGGAGATCCACTCAACCCGTGACAACACAGTTCTGAAATCGAGAATAACGTTCGCCTCAACATGGTCTGCTGCTACACTGGAGGCGTGCAGCCAAAAGTGGAGGAGAAGCCGGGTACAGTAATCAGATAAGCACGTGAAACTAGTGGAATCTAGCTACAGAGATGCAGTACACTTCAATGCCAACAGTACCCGGCGAGGGTGTAGTTCGTTTATCTATCTGGTTGTCACAGAAACAGGCTAAGTGAACCGATAGGCGGCCGCTGAGAGCATCAGATTATTGGAAAAGTGATGACAGGAGTGTAAATTTTCAGAGAGCAAGAACGAACAACATTTCTGCGGGATAACCTGAATTCGGAGTATTCTGTGTCTTCTCATTCAGCCGCTTACAGACAAATCGTGGAAAGAGTAAAGGATGCAATTGAAAAGGAGGTCAATAAGGAAATCAGTGAAGCACTGAGAAAATCAAGGTCATCGCCTACGCCTTAACAGCACAAAGCAAGACTGGTCACAAGGTCGACCTGTTTGTAAACGTTAGGTTTCATTCGCCGGACGGCAAAGGCTTCAGCGAAACGAAGCAAGCTCGCGTTGTTCTGTCTGTTGATAAGCCTGAATGTTTCACTGGGTTTTCGTACAAGGTACAATCGAGCAGGTGCTGAGCGATTGAGCTGGCAGGGAGTTTAGGGCCACTATTTGCTAGGTTCCAAGTTGTAAATGGCAGAACTCCTGTAGTACTGCAACCCCTGTCACTTACGGCGGCTAGCAAGTAAGGGTCGGGTAGTACAAAAGAAATATACAAAAAATATAAGGATTTAGTGCCGCCTGTTTTCGTTTATCCACCTTGTCAAATACAACAGGTAAGCGAGCCGTCTGACACCTTGAGGTTGCCGATGCGGGATGAAGATGAGACTTGTTGGAAACTCAAGGTTATGTGTGGGTTAAGATAATTCTATGAAGTCTTGCTCTACGTAGGAAAACGAGTAAAAGACTTATTTGAAAACCGGCTCTAAAGCCTCATCGCAAAGCAGTGGGGGCACGGAAATGGCCCAAAATGGGTTAGTTCCACTCGAAAGTGTCACGTCAGTTGCAACCGCCATGAAGAGTAGCTATCAAGGCAGCCGAGAGCAACTCAATATATAGGGCACCACTAAGTGGAACGGAGGTATATGCGAACCACCATACTACCTTGATTCAGTCTCATCACAACTGCATACTTCGTGAAAGTTAATGATAGTGCCTTTGGACGTCGGTTACATCAATATGCATGTCCAGGCACCAGATAGTGTTAAAAAACAGCAACCAAGTTGCCCAGCGCGGCGAATACTACGATAACTGAGCACTTTTATGTTCTCGCGGCTTGGTGTTCATTGGCTAGCTGCACACGTAAAAAACCATTGGTTTCGGCCATTGTAACACCCCTGTTTAGGCAAGGAACAGACCACTGTGTAAGCTTACCCTAGAGGAGTGACATGAGTTGTGGCGCGCACTCGATCACTATCCAACGAACGTAACTAGATGCAGCAAAAATAGACTCATGTGACAACAGACGTTGTGGGTAAAACGCGGAGCAATGATCCTGTGAAAACACAGAGGAATCCAGAGACTAACGGCACGGTGCCAATGGAAAGCATTACTTACTAATGGATGAGGGGTAGGTTTCCGCACTGCGCATGAGGAATGCAAAGTATGAGATCGCAGCCCTAGTGCGGCATAATAAATTCGTGTCTTCAGCGCAGGAGCGAGTGGGAGTATGCGGTCCCGTAGAAATGCAAGCTGATGAGAGTGCTCAAAGTTCTTGTGTCCACATAAGTAAAAAGCAATACGAAACGGTGAGCAATCAGATGCTGGAGATCAGCTTGTTGCCTAAGTTCATTTACGATATCGGAGGAAGAACCTGTAAAACGTGCGGCCCTCCGGCAGAAAGAACAACAGGTGGCGGCGACACGAAAATCTTTATTGGCGAGAATTGCTTTCTTTTTATATCAGATATGACCATTTTCTGCGCCCGTTTCTATTCGGCTACTACACTTTCATGCATTTGTCTCCATTTGCCAGTGTCCTTTGATCCTGGGCGTTTCGCCTCCAATCGTTCGGTCGTAATTCGTCCATGGCATTTGCTACAATTGGTTCCCCATGCTGTGTCTTGACGATCAAAAACCAATCGGCCGATGGGTTTCGGTTCAGTGCCTGCTCTTTCTGGCCTATGGACGGTCGTTCGCGTACCGGATTGACGTGACGCTGATTGGTCAGGCGTCTGATGCAAGTCCTCGATCCCCTTAACGTCGCTTACTCGTTTGCGAGCCGTCTCGGGTTTTGATTGGATATTCGGACCACGCTTGTTTGCCAGACGCTTTGCCGAGCCGTTGGTCTGTTCGTCCGATCGGTAGCTTGTGTGCGCCACTGGTTGGCGGTGCCGCGAACTGATTGCGATCTCCGATTGTGTTGCCGATTGGTGGAAACCAGTTCGCGCTGTTGGCTGGCGGTTTGGCACGTAAGCTACCATCACATCCTTCCTTTTTTCGTTTTTTTGTAGTCCGATTGCGTAAGCGCTGTATCGCCTTCCACTGCGTGTAGTCTTGTGGTCGTGTGCTGCCGTATCCACCGAAATGTCCGGCTGCGTTGGCTGCTTCGCACGATGCCGTGCTTGTTCACCACGTTGTCTCCTTAACTGCACCCGGTTGCGTCGAAATAGACTATCCCCAACTCTTACGTCGTAGCTTCGTTCGCCTTTGAGACCTTCTACTCGCCCTCTCCTCCAAGACCCGTTAGCTCCCGGTGTCGGCGCGACCCAGACCTCGTCTCCGGGCAACAGGCGTGGAAGCTGCTTCGTTCCGCGATCGTAATATTTCTTTTGTCGAAGCATGCGCTCACGCAAGCGCTCATACATCAAGCTCTGCGATGGTATTTCAGGCTGCAGCAGAGTATTGGCGATCGGCAACAGGGTTCTTGTCCTACGGCCAAACAGACGTTGCGCTGGACTGCATCCAATTTCGGCAGATGGCATGTTCCTTCGTTCTAACAACATGATGTAAGGATCTTCTTTGGTCTCCTTGGCTTTGGTGAGTAACTTCTTTGCTTCCTTCACGGCTGA